GGTGCTGGGGCGGATTGTGGTGCTGCTGCTGGGACTGTTGCTGCTGGGACTGCTACTGCTGGGACTGCTGTTCGTGGTGTCGTTCTGGTTCTGTTGAATGATGGGCTTAGTTCGTTGGCCCGTCTCGTGGCGAGATTGGAACTCACCTGCGCTATTGCCAGCGGTGCCAATGCCATTAACATTATGGCCATTAGCAGCAGCGGCAGCCAAACGGAGTTGGCAGGCGCGCCCATTCTGCAAATGCTTGATGTATGATGTGCTCCAACGGCTGTCCAACTGAACCCAGCGCCCACAACGAACTGGACTTAAATAGTCGATTGCAGCTGAATGCAGTTTTGCCACGAGCCGTCGCCCAGCGCGCGCACAGACGTGATCTATGCCCCGATATCAGATGCATCATCAACATCATCGCTGTCAACCTTGCTTGATCTTGTTGATGCGTCAGCCGGCCGAGGGTCACCAAAAATTGTTAGCCAGCGCTAGTGCCAAGTCTCAATGGGCGCGTACGGTCATTGTGACCCATGCTGCTCCAATAATGCAGCAAATGAAGCTAGTTGTGATTCCTAAACGAACGTAGCCAACGCATTTTGTCATTGATGAGCGCCCAACATGGCGGCAACATTTCCGGCTGCGAGCTTATATTCTTTGGCACAATTAATAAATGTTCTTGTGAGTAGCGGAAATTGTAAGGCTTGAGAAGGCATTAAAACTGACTGCATACAAATTGGTAAATGTTTACCCAATTATTATTGTTAATCATATGCAAACGCCTATTAATGAATATGCTAGTTATATGCTTGACATATGCCAGGTAGGTGGTCAAATTCTCGAACTTTCTTTACTTGTGCATATTTTGTGCCACGCCAAAAATTAAATTGTTGCTCGTCTAAACAATCGGAATGTGAATGGTATGTAATTGAGAATTCCACAAATGCAACAACATTTTTCGCAGCTAATTCAGCCAGTAAAAACCGTAGAATATTATCTACTAGAGCACGAGACGACAAATTTGATCAGAATTTCGCTGCTCGAACGAAATGATGCAATTGCGAGTGATTGTGACTTAATCGATAAGTAGACTATCGATAAATTGGCCACTTCCTGTTTGAAATTGCGTCGCCATGTTGTCACATATTTAACGGATAGATAAACATCCGTTTAGTTTGACAGATCAGCGAAAACATGAACGTGAATAAGAAACGAAAAATCTAGTTGAACAACAAGATGTGAAAGTGCTTGTTAACCTTGATAGGAACACGAGCACTTAAGTGTGAAATGCATGTTGGAATTATGTTAAATGACGTTTAAATATATATATTTTTTTTTTATTACAAGCGAGGGAATCGTCTGAATTCATAATATAATAGAATACTGCAGCCAGTTACTATTAAAATAATTCAACAGAAACATTTCGTGTTAATGAATAAATAAGATGTGAAGCTAGAAATGTTAAGAGCTGAATCCTCGAATTAAAGTTGAGCTTAAGTAGAAATAAATATCACATTCATTGGTGCGTGATCCGTCTAATGGATTTGGGCTTATGCTAAACAATAATAATATAATAATATAAAGAGTAATAATATAGAAATAAATAATGCACGGTTAGACATAATAAGCACAATTTGAGCAAACATTTTATTGAAAACTTTTCGAGCATAACTCAGAAGTTGACTTTGAAACGTGAACGTCAACAGAAAACGCTCCACGGACGGAATGGACATGGACGGACCGAATTATGAAAAGTGCAATATGAGAAATAAATTAAATACAATTTATATATGCATATAATACTATATACATATATACAGAATATGTATATATGTATATAATATACAAGTGAAGCGGGCGCTGTTCCACTGGCCCAAATAAATGCGCGCCAATATTCGCCGGGCTCAGCAGAATTTGGGCAACTACTTGGCCCGGAACGTTGGGTCATCTGCTTTAGTAGCCATAGCCGTAGCCGTTGCCGTCGCCGTCGCCGTAGCAGCTGCAATGAGAAGCGAATCAGAGTGTGAAAAAAACGCCACAATGATTTTCCATTTATTTTGTTATTTTTTTATGTCTCGTATTTTTTTTTAAGAGTTTTTCATATTTATTATAAACTAGCCAACTAGCATAGAAGTAAACCACAGAGTTCCCTAACAACTGCACTATATATTACAAGAGATTTTTGTGCCCGCATTAGACGCGGGCATAGCTGGGGATGGGATTGGGGTTGGGGTGGGAGGTGGCGTGACGCCTAGAACCAGGCGCGCAGATAGTCGCTGATGGGCGGCATATTGTATGTATCCACGCTGTAGCCGTCGTGGGTGTGACTATTGTAGCCATACGTCTTGGAGGGCGTTCTCGAGTAATCAGCTCTGAGCGCCGATTCGGGCTCAGGGGAGGTATCGAAGCCCCAGCCGCCCAGACGGCCATCGATGAGCTTCTTGAGAAAGTCGGTTGTTTGCTTCTTTTGCTCGGGCTCTGGATCCACAAGGGTGCCACCATAATGTGAATTGTTATCAACATAGTCCGGATGCTGGTAAACAAGGCCCGATATAATGCTGTCCAGCTGATTGTGAGCCACATGCTCCACGGGATAACCACCGCCAATGCCCAGCACGGGTGTTGAATAGGTGCGTGGACTTATCGACTGTAAATCGCCGGCAAATTGCAGCGGCGTGGAGCTTTGCTCCAATGGATCTGGCACCGAGGTGGTCGACAGCAGGGAGCGCAGATGCGAGTCATCCACAAATCTATAGTCATTGTAGATGCCGGTCAGCGGCGAGGGTATCTGCTGTGGGTAATAGCTCAGCGCAGCACGCTTCGCGGGAATTGAGTTAACCAGCGATGGTGGTGGTGGCAGTTCCTGTTGGTCTGCTTGCTCCGGCTGCTCTTGCTGCTCTTGCTGCTGTCGCTGATCTGGCTGCTCTGGCTGCTCTAGCTGTTCGGTGCCGCCTGTGCTGCTGAAATGCTGAGCTTCATCTGTGGTTGCGGGTGGTGCAGTGGCAGTAATGGCGCCACAGCTCATATGGCACTGTCCACGCTTAAAACTGGGATTTAGCGTTTCCGGCATGAATTGTATGATCTCTGGAGCGGTTAAATCAGCGTTGGCGCGCTCCTGCTCCAGCAGATCATACTCACCCTTAATGTCACGTTTGCTCAAGTGACGCCCCAAGCCCGGCCAGCGTTTGCTTTGAGCGGGTGCCTTTTTCGACTTGCGCTTGGTCTTGGACGAGGTCATCTCCTGCACCGGGACAAGTCCCAGCATGCGCATCTTTTGCTGCTGCTGTGCGCTTAGATCCTTGTGATACAACTTAACATAACGAGCTGGACGCTCCTGCAACAGCTGCTGGCGCATTAGGCGCTTGCGCATCAGCGAGCCATGCGTACGCAGGTCACGACGACGACGTATGGCATTGCCATTGGCATTGTCATTGGTAATCGGACTCGAGTTGGACTGCTGGGCTACGTACCTTGGCTTGGCAGTGGAGCAGCTGCTGCAGCTGCAGCTGGACTTGTGCTGGGCGCGACAATCTGTGAAGAAATAAATCAATTAGTTCAAGTGTCTAACATGGTCTTGGAATCGTTTAGTATGCACCTCCTTTGTTGGCCGTAACGCGATCCACCTTGGCGTACAGCTTGGCCGGCTTGTTTTTGGGTGGTGCGGGTGTACGTGGCTCCTCGACGGTGAAATCAAAGCTGTAGCTTATCTTTGCCTTGGTCTGGACAGGCTTATCCACGCGATACCCGTACTCGCCGCCCTCGTACTTTTTGGGCTTGCTCGGATTGGGCACATTCAGCTGATAGCCAAGCTGTGCGGGACAGGCGCAGCCCTCCTCACCCGTATAAACGACCTGAACGGGCGTGGGTGCTGCCGCAACGTTGACCAGCAGTACCGCTAGTATCAGCGCCGGCAGCAGGGCCAACGCGATCGAGTGCATCATTAACATGGTGTGGATATATATCTGAATATCAAACGGTATTAAATGGCGTCTGCTTTGGTGTCTGTCGTTCTGGCTACTAGCCAAAGCTTGGCTGGTCGCATTCTTTATATCGGCTTTGCCTCCATCCAGTGCAATCTCTCACGCAGCCCCAACGACCACGTCTGGAGCGCTGTCTGTTCTGGCCAGCGGCGACGACTGTGGCTGAACTTGAACTTGAACAATGTTTTTTCTGATTGTTGTTATTGTTGTTGTTTGCATTTCACCGCTGCTGCAGCCGCTGATATTGTTGTTGCTGTTGTTGTCGTTGTTGTAGCTGCTTTTGTTGTTGTTGTTGGTCACGCTGACCTTTTCAAATAATTTGCGCTAGCGATGTTTTCTGACAAAAGTCATGTTCCCAGCATTCGTTGATTTCAGTGCCGAATCAAGTGTTGGACTTGGGCTTAGGGGCAGTAAAATAATATTTAAATTGTTTGATTTGCAACTTGCTTTGCACTGCTTTCATTTGCGTGCGCCGTTTCTGAACGTTGACCTATCGATTAATCGATAAATCAATTAGTCAACCATTCGCTCATCCGTACATACTTTAAATTTTGGCCGTTAAAAGGCGTTATTGAATTCATGAATTAAAAAGATCACGTTTTTATATATGCAACTTGACGTACACTCTGTGTTGTATACTTTTAGGGCAAAAAATTAAAAAATTCTGATAAAAGTGAGCACTTAATCGTGTTCTTTGCTTATTGCAAATTTACCTGGTATTCACTTTTTGTTTCGTTCACCTGATTGCAGTTTTGACGTCGAAATAAAAGTAGCAATGTTTTATAAGTAATAATGTTTAGATATCACATTACTGGCCAGTTTTATATGACATTTGAGCCCATCAGCTTCAACTGAGCTTTCATATCACCAAGATATATATTCTGAAGAATTCTTAAAATTAAAAATATCTTAGTATATATTTGTCTTTGATTCTAATAAGGATACAAAAATATTTACTAGATATTTATGAAATATTCAGCTACTTTTTAAGTAAATTTGAACTTTATTACACTGTTTCACAGTTTATAAAAAGCTTGTTGGCATTTCTATTACATTTGCAATGTTCGTGTATTTAAATATATTTTAAACGCTAACTAATACATACATACATCATACATCAATCCATCCATCCCTATACATATACAATTATTTACAGGCGGAGCTAATACTGCCTAATAATAGCTGCCACCATCCAGCTCCTGGCGACGTGCATTGCGATAGGATGTGACGCGACCGGGCTTGAAACCGCAATCGACAGAAACTCTTTCGCCCACCTTGGTGTAGCTATCGCTGTTGGATTTTACGCTGTAGGTGGATTTGCTGGAGCTGATCTTCTTAAATTTGGGATTCTTGAATTGTTCGGTGATGTAGCCAAGCTGCTTATATGTCAACTGTGGCGCCGATTCATCATCATCGGAGGCTTTTTCCTCCTCGTCCTCAATATATTCCTCCTCTTCCTCCTCCTTGGCCGCATAGTTGCGTTTCTTCAGAGTGATGACATCGCTTTTCAGCTTGAACAGATTTTCCTCGGGCACATTAGAAAACAAAACCTTTTGCTGCCCATCCACGGGCTTCTGGGCGAAACCATATGCTAGCTTTGCTTCGGGCACATTGATGGCCTTGCCAGCCTGGGCGGCCAGACTGACGCTTATGGGATCGGCGGGAGCACTATCATCCTGAGTCTTCTCGGCCGCATAGCCAATGCTAAAGTAACATTTTTGTTAATAGTCACAGCAAAACATATGGTGATCAGAGGATCGGTTGATTCGTTACTTACTTATCGTAAGTGGAGCTGGTGCTAGAGCTGCTGTAGCTGCTATCTTCGCTCTGTTGGCAGCCGCAGGTGGGCTTGCATGGCGTCTTCTGTGGAAATGACGAGAGTTTTGAGTATCGAATTGAGTTTGAGTTCTATCATTGCAAGCAGATTGTTGATGCTTGGCGCACGTACGGGATGATAATGATGACAGAGCGGCCAGCGATGCCCAAGTCCACTAGAATGATGATGGAGTTCGTGACGATGATGATGATGTTCTAGTACTGTTGCCAAGATGACGATACTGATGATGATGCAAGCGCAACGTTCTTGCTATTGGCCTATTGCTGCACACATTTGGGCGCTGATACCGCTTGCATGCGGAAACAATGCTCAACGATGGCTATTACTGTTATTGCAGAGGATGTATGCAGCTGTGCGAATGTATGTATGTATGTATGTATGTATATATATATTAGTGTATTATTGTGCTGGGTTGTACTGGGCATGCATATACTAGGCTTTTAGGTCTTGTTATAGGTTGTGTTATATAAATCTAAGATTGGGCTTGTTAGTCACTGGATTAGTCACAGGCCGTAGCCATAGCTCGCAGATGGAACCATGTGAACGCTTCGCCGCTTGTGGCAGTCCGCATGCTCCAAGCGCTGCAGCCGCTCGGCCAGACGTTGTGCCGCCATAGTCTTGGCCTCGATGGCACCCTCAAGCATGCGGCGGCTCAACAGATTGTTAAACGCGTGCACATATTGAAAAAGCTCACGTACTTTGCCGCAGGTCTTGGGCAGCTGGGCGGGTTCGATCAGCTGCTTGCTGCACCAGCAATTGTCGCCAATGGGCGACAGGTTCACCTCGCTGGGCTCATAATAGCGGGGCTTCGGGCGCACAATGCTAGGTCCCTGGCAGCTCTGACAGTAATCGGTGCCCTTCTCCGAGCACACACAGGCCGCCAGCAGCTGCAAATAGATTCAATCGTAATTGTAGCATTCGATTTTAGATATTCCAACTGCAGCTACTTACGCCCTCGCTGCACAGCAGCGCCAGCAGCAAACTCAACATTAATTTACAGGCGTGCATCTCAGTGGTTCTCGTTGTTAAGGTAATATTATTTTTATTATGCTGCTACTGTGGGTGACTCCTCTTATCGGTCGCGTGCTGCTCTGCGCTCGTTAAACGTTTGAATTGACACCGCAGCGACCCACACGTTTTATACCCAAGATCTAAAGCTCGGCTCACGTCGTTGTTGTTGCTGTGTAGTTATATTTGTCATTGTTTTTACTTGGATTATTATTGTTATTCTTATTGTCGAATTGCACCTGTTGGCTGCAATTCGAGTTAAATGAAATTTGGCATCGCTCGCTCCAACACCGGGCAGGGACACTTTCTCATTTCTACGCGCCAGGGTCGCGGCCGCAGCACATCAGGCTTTGGGTTCAGGTGCATCGCTACTTTCGCTCGGCGGCTGCACGTGCCCAATGACCCAACGGCAAGCGGCCAGCGACAAGTGGATGATGATGTGTGGGATGTGGTGATAAACAAAACCGCGCAAAACTCGGCAAATTCCATGAAATTCATATCGCTGGTGCTGCTCGCGTTGTCTCTGTCAACGTCGACGTCGACGTCGACGCAGCCAAAAAGTTAACAATGAAAGTTGTGCAAAAACTAAAGCATTTTGAACAATTCGTCCGATTTGCGCTGCGTTCCCAATTCTCCCGCCATCCATTTGGGTCAACGTCAGGGTCTTCGATTTCGATTGGTCCATCGAGCTTAATTAGGCCATTGACCTAATTTTTTTAAATATTTAGAATCGCAGACGAGATTGGAAATATGCGATGTTGGTTTGTTTATGGCATAATACCATTATGTTTATACAAAATGGGAAATTACGTGTTTTTAAATTTTACACACACACACACATATGCATAGCAATACATATATGTATATGCATATGTGTATACGCTTGCCTATTGTGTTTATCGATAAGCGCAAATATCAGTTGTTAATCGCTGTAATCGAATATGCGCAGCGTAAATCACGTTTAATGTACGTTTCAAATTTAAAAACAATTTGCTGTATGATTTTTTTTTCTAAATGCCAATACATGTGATCTACGTACATGAATATTCAGCCGTCAACACATTTATTTTAACGAGAAAATATATACCTATAATTTGGTATGTTTACACAATTTGTTGATATTCCCCATAACTTTATCATAGTAAACAAACGCTGATGGTCAAAAGCAATGTTTGTCAAAATAATTATGTGGACAACTGTACATATATATACATAATATACAGAAATGTTCTTTAACAATAAAATATTGAGCTGGAAACATTTTGTTGGGACATAAAGTTTGAAAGTCCTTTGTTAGTTAAGAAGCTGCCAATCGCAATCTTTGCAACTGGATTGTAACTCATAAAGAAGTATTTAAAACATGTTTACTTAAGAGTTCTTGATATAATAGCCTGCTTATTTAAATTAAATAAAAAAAAAAATAGATTTTTGTTAGCCTGATTATATGTGAATGAATAATCGCAGCTAGGCGGGTCACAGGGCGTAACTATATAAGTCCCACACGTTTAGTTTAGCAAAGTTCTTATGCGTATAACTATAACAACGCTGCATACCCTAATTGTGTATATATATACATATACATACATATATATATGTATATTTATTCTAATCTTTTCTACTCATTTTTATCAGCGAGTTGAAATCTCCAATAATGCGCAAAAATATTATAATTATCAATATAAAAACTTATTTATTTATACAAAAAAAAAAGTATTGAAATGTCTATTATTTAATATAGGGCATCAGCCTGATAAGTGAAAATTTCGTAACTGATTTTCCGCGCGTGCTGATCCCATATTTTCTTTTCAGTTTCTTGTTTACCGCCCAATCAGTGCCAATTTGTCTAGGCCGGAAAACTAGACCAGAGCTTCTAAATGATATGCCTTAAGAGGCATCCAATGATGACCAGCCCAGACGCTGATCAGCTGCTGAGCGCGTGTTCTGTGCGATTGTGTCCCAGTTGGTTAATTACAAATGACCATGCCCAAGGCCCGCAATGGATGCGCACGGCAACAGAATCACTGGGAAACACAGTCCACAGTGTCAATCACCTTATCACCAGGCGGGAGCAGTATAAAAGCGCGAGGCGCGCGGAATGGCGAGCTCAGAATAGCAAACACGGAAAGATTCATCGCTGGCGGACAGCAGCAGCAGCAGCAGCAGCAGATAGTGTCCGGCGCTTAGTCGACGTAAAAAAAAAAAATCAGCTTCAGTCTCATTTTCAATTATAAATTCGCATTCAGTACACGTGGTTAATAGCCTGCTTATCAGCTGGAGCAGAGTCTACCAGCCAGCCTGGAGCGCAGCAGTTCGTTTAGTACAGTTGTACAGTCGCAAGTGGGCGCAACAGCATCCGCAGACAGCACAGTCTACATCCTATTCAAGATCAGCAGTTGGACTCCCTGAACACCCAAACTCAAAATGGCGGCTAAGAGAATGGATTTGAATGCGCGCACGTTGCTGGTGTTGAGCGGCAGCTCGAATCCGCTTGGTGAGACGCTTGCCCAGGAGCTATGCAGCCGCTTGGCAGTCGGCTCGGTGGCGCTGATATTGGATGAAAGCCAAAAGAGATTGGAATCGTTGGAGCAGCATTTGAAGGAGCATCTGCAACCAGATGCGGTCCAGATTATCACTGGTCTTCTGGATGAGCGGCACAGCAACGGGGTTCAACTGCTGGATCAGGTCTTGTGCCAAAGCGAAGGTTATGGTTTCGAGCGCTCAATCTTGGTGCACAATGAGGGTGACAGCGCCACCCACATGCTGATGGAGCCGCAGACGGCAGAGGCATGGACCGATTATGTGCAGCATCAGTTGTACGCGCCGGTGGCACTGAATCAACGCTGGCTGAACTCCGCCGCATTGCAGGGCATCGAGAAGCTGGCGATCAATGTGACCTCATCGCTGCAGGTGCGTCCGCTGGTGTACAGCACGCTGCTCTGCTCCTGCAAGCGGGCCCGTGACATGTACTTCCGGTCCATGGCTTCGGAAGAGGCACGCGCCAATGTGCATGTGCTCAGCTATGCGCCCGGTCTGTTTAAGACGCATGAAACCCAGTGCGATGTGAACGGCAATTTTGTGGCACCAGAGGAGCTACTTGTGATGTCCGATCAGGAACAGCCGGAATTGCCACGCGTCCAGCCGCTGCAGTCAACGCTCAAGTTGATCAACATTCTGGAGGAGACCGCCTTTGTGTCCGGTCATGATGTCGACTACTACGACACTTTCTTCTTATGAGTAGCAATGCAGTCGTGGTCTGTGCATCCACTTGGGCATTGGAGGTGGTTCGCACTGGCACGCACTGCTGCAGACAAGCATGTTAATCTAGATTTTGTGCAAATGAAAACGGAAATGAATAAATTTTGGCTGATGACCCTCGTGCGACTAACGGTACAATGTGCGTGCTACGCAAACGAAACACACGAAAACGAAACACAAAAAACATGTTCTATTTTTTCTTATTTATATTCAATGGGGCTGTACCTTGGGGAGGAATCAGATTCCAATTTTTTAATGCCTAACATTACTTTCATTGAACATTTTCTTCATACGTTTCAAATATCATTTGAGATTCACGCTGGCAATACTCATTAATACTCATTAATGATCATGAGGGAATTGGCATTTTTTGTGATCAGGGAGAAATACTCACGATACTCTAAAATTGGGCTATCTGATTGGGTTACTTTAGCGAGAGATTAGATTGCAATCCAACAAAATCAACTGAGATTTAGTGATGATACCTTGAACTGAGCGCTGCTTTAATCAGTAAAAAAAAAACTGCTTGATTTTTGGATCGCTGACTATAAACCGAAGGCAGTGATTGTCAAACTGTGACGTCAGAAATGATCGAATATTGAGTTTTGTGGGGGCGCTCCGCAATTTTTCAAAGTTTCATCTTAAGAGGCGGATGAACGGGTCATCAAAGGCCATTAGCTCTGAAACTGTGATACAGATAGGATTTATGATTAACATGTTTCGCCCGTCTCCTAGTGGGCGTGGCAAAAAATGCATGAGTACACATTTCATGATAAGAGTCTCTACCTCTAAAAGCGGCTTATAAATTTTACTTATACAGACAGACAGACAGGCGTACACACAGACATTACACAAATCCAATATACTCGCTTTTACATTTGAGTAATAACGTAATTATTTGAAATTTTTTTGTATAGTAGGCTGGTCACTCTGCCGCTGGTTGTGGAACAGCTGATTGATATCGATATTTTGTAATGAAACCAAATGAAAATTAAGCTCTAATATCCGTTTGGAATTTGCTTTTCAAATAGCAACAAAAATTGCTCACGAAATACGTAAGATTCACATTCAGTGAATGTTCAGAAACATTCTGATAGTGGAAATGGGTTATTAGAGAATTGTATCCCTATCTCTCTTCTTTTTTTTTTTTTTTATTTTTTCTGCTTTCTCGCTGGGGGAATGACTCAAAGCTTATCGCTAATGTCGTCGATTGACCATTCACAAAACAGCGTAAAATTTCGGAGCGACGCACTGATAAGACCCAAATCACGATCGCCGGCCCGGCAACAATGTTGCTGTAATTAATGTGCGAGGCAAAAGATTCATGGCGTCATAATTATAGTGTGTATTGAGTCGATCGGGAACTGTAGCTGCATACAGATATGCAGTTAAATATAAGATTTGTGCGTTCCATGCAAACATTGTATGTTAAATGATCTCGTAATTGTCGGTAATAAACACTTTGTTGGTTAATTGGTTTGTGTTTCTGTGTGTCAATCGATCATGATTATTCGGCTTTAGTTTTATTAGCTGAACAAGCTCAATTTGTGCTGTTTTTTATGATTATTACTTAATAAAAAAAGCCCAACGTGTTTTCGTTTTTGTTGACAAATGTGCCTAATTAGTTTAAAAGGCTTTTTGTTTATATAGTGTTTTCCTACTCCATAGTTCTTATTATACATGCAAGGCCTTGATTTTAAACAATGTTTATATTAATTGTTGAAGATATAAATCTGCGGGAAGAACCTCATGGATTGACAGTTTTCACACTTGTAAGGGTAAGGGGCACAGAAACAAAATAAGTCATATATTTATTAAATTAAGTAGAGTTATCAAAGTGTTGCTAGCGATTAAAATTTGTAAAGATCTGATCAAGTAAAAGAACATACATACATATAAGAATGCACAAGAAAATGTATGAATCTTAAATTGGGCAATAAATAAAAAGGCCTCTCTATTAATGTGTAAATGATTTGCGCCTTACGAGTCTCGCTTAATGCATTGCACTTGATGCATTGAATTCTATAGCTGTTTGACCTTGGCAAGTTGGAATTGCATTCCGGGCGGCGGTAATTGATAAGCGGCTGCTATTTAAATTCATTTACGGGTATTTATTGTGCGATCTGATGTGCGACAATTAATAAACAATTATCATTTAAATGCGAACAACATGTAGCGCCGATAACCTTTTTATGTCGATGTCATTCCAAGCGAATCTTAAAGCTGTTAAGCATGTGTAAACCGGGCAGAAAAACTCGCATGAGTATAAGCAAAAGCTTTAACAAAGTTGCCAAACTCAAAGCTTAGCATACAAAAAAAAAGTTTAATTAATTACAATCGAATGCGATTTTTAGGCAGCGATATCATCCAATTATCAATATAGTTTTGACACGAACATTAAACTATCAAGTGTCCCTACCCCATACAACTAAATTGACAGCCACAACACAGACATATATATATATATATACGTATATGTATATATATACACTTAAAAACTAGTATATACGTACAGACTAACTGATACATACGCACACTTGCAAGCTTTCGACGAAGCTTTCAAGAAGCAGCCTCAAGTAGCCAGTCATAAACCTGCAACCAACTGTTGATGCTGTGCTTGGACTCTGTTTAATATACATTTGCCTTTCACCATGAATCTGGAGCAGCGCACTTATTTGCTGGTGACGGGCGCTTCGCGCGGCATTGGCCGGGAGCTGGCAGAGCAATTGGCGCGTCAGCTATTGCCCACAGGCTCGGTGGTGGTATTGCTGGGTCGCAGCGAACCGCTGCTGCAGGAGGCAAAAGCATCCATTCTGGCGGATCGTCCAAAACTGGACGTGCATTTGTACTCACTGGAGCTCGCCACAGCCAGTGCCAAAGATTTTGGGCGCATTTTCGATAAAACCCTGCCGGTTAATGGTTGCAACGAGTTTGAGCGTGCCATTGTCGTGCACAATGCGGGCACGCTGGGCGACACCTCACAGCATGCCAGGGAGCTGGGCGACACTAAGATACTGGAGCAGTATTATCATATCAATTTGTTCTCGGCACTGGCATTAAACTCGGAATTCATGCGGGTGTTTGCCGGCATTCCCAAATTGGTGGTGAATCTCAGTACATTGGCGGCCCTGGAGCCATTCTCTTCAATGGCCTACTACTGTACGGTGAAGGCGGCGCGTGAGATGTATTTCCGTGTGCTGGCTCTAGAGGAGCCCTCAACGGAAACGTTGGTGCTTAACTACGCGCCCGGCGTTATTGACACACAGATGACGCTCCAGGTGCAGAGCGAGTCACACGATCCGGCATTGGCGGCTGCATTTAAGGAGCAACGCGAATCCAAGACTATGCTCACGCCACAGCAAACAGTGTCCAAGTTGTTGCAGGTGCTGCGCGCACAAAAGTTTAAATCGGGCGAACATGTAGACTACCGAGATTAGGCCAATTCAAATGTAAATTCTTAAGTTTTCTGGTTCATGGATTTTACATGATTCTACATTAATTAAATACAAATAAACAATTTTCTAAAAATAGTTTAGATTGCTAAAAGAAATCGGCTGCTGCGCTTCGTATTTTTGCTGGTATTTTTAGCAAGTCATCCGTCAGAGTGGAGCCGGTATCAATGGGCGTGGCGGTACCCTTAGCCGGAGTATGTTTGCCAGTGCTCGACGGCGTTGTACGCACCATGTTGGGCGTAATCTTGCGCTTGCGCATTGCCGGCGATGGTGTCATCAAGGGTGTATGGGTGCGTAGGCCCAGTTTGCTCGTGGCAAGGCGTCGCGCAGCTGGCGACATGCTGGCTAGACGCTCCATGCTAGAGCGCACAAACGGCGATCCTATGTTGCGCCGTGCCGTGTTCAGTGCTTGTTGCTTTTGGTTGCGCATCTTTTCGCTCACCTTTTCGGCCAGAGCAATAGCAATGTTCTCTCTGCGCGAGTTCTCATTGATGTGAAACGAGGGTCCGGGCATGTTACGTAGCGGCGTATCGCCGCCATCCAGGCGAAAAGGCGTGCCGTCAATCTCGCCCCAGGTCATAATAGGTGAGAATGCTTTGCCGGGTCGCGGCGATGGTGAGCGCAGCAAATCGAAGCCCCGAATGTGTGGCGTGCCCGTGCTAGCCTCTTCACCAGTTGCATTGGCACTTACACTGGCATCTGCATTGCTGGTTTGCGTTTCGGGCTGGTCTGTAGTTGGCAGTCTGGTGGCGTTGTGCCGAATGGCCTGCTTGCGTTCGGCCTGTTTAACGTTTTCCTGCTCGGTCTCATCAACGCCATCGGGCACATACATAACAGAGTTCATGTTGGTGTATTTCCATGTCTGGATCTTGCGCAACGGATCGGGTTCCTCGAACTGCTGCTCAATGCTGGGGAGCATTAGCGCTTGTTGTAGCTGCTCAGCGGAAAGCTGCTCATGATTGTACAGCACGGAGTACTTCTGTCGCAGTTTCATCTCGGCCGTCTCAATGATTTCCTGAAAGCTTTGGTTGTCCTCACTGGTGTAGTGTTGCAGAAAGGAGTCCAATGACATTTTACGTCCTATAGCATCCTGACCCTCACCTTCGGCAGAGCTGTGACTTTTGCTGCTCTTGTAGCTGCCGCTGCTTGAGTTTGGCGATGGCGGAAGCGGCGTTGGGCAGGCATTGGCTGTGCTTAATGGCGTTTCGAATGTTGCTGGTGACATGGCTGCAACGCGAAGAAATATCTTGTTAAGTGACTTTGCAACTGGGGTGGTAAGCAACTTACCATTATTGCGACTATTGCGCCTGCTACTATTGCCGTAAGCACGGCCCAGACTGTAGCGCGCGCGTATTTCAGCCATTAGTAAAAAATCACGGCGGGACTCTGCGTCGAGGTAGTCGTTTTGGGCACGCAGCCGTTCCAAATCGGGAAAAAAGTCACGCTGAATGATTTTGGACATCTCCTCAATGTAGCGCTCTTCGGTTAAGATCTTGGGTTTAATTTTACGACGTTCGCCACTGCTAGGAAGTGGATGCTTAAACTCCGCCAGTTCAGTGCTTTGCACTGTGGCAATTTCCGTGGTCCGACCATCCGTTGGGCTTTGCGTTTTCGGTGTATTGGCCATAATATTAAACACCGTTTTACCTGGTGTTTTATTAAACGTTGCTCAATTATAAAAAAAAACAAGCAAATAAAACAAACTAGAGTTGGCAAAACATTGATAATATCGATGGTTATCAATTTTGGCTACTACCGATAGTTTAGCAAGTTATATCGATAGTGCACATTAGGGCACATTTTCAAATTGAAATGATAAACTACCACAGTGTGACGTGGTTGAAATATAAACAAAACATACTTTTCAATACTGCAAAAGATACGTCATTGTTTCATAATAAACTTTTTAATTTATCGATAGTGCTATTTCCACTATTTATATTTTCAAATATCGATGGCAAAATTATCAAGGACTAGCACTTTCAATGTCATACCAGTCTAAAAGATGTCAGCTGGAGGGCTGCCAGACTGCTGAAAAAATATCGCGTAAGCGCCCTGCGATAGGAATATCGATTGGATTAGATTAGAGACATCAATATGAGCACTCCGTTTCCGTTATTTAGCTATAAAATGTTGATAACAATTTTCATTTGAAAATGTTTTAGAAATGCTATATATATAAAATGTTATATCGGCATATTTACTACGATTTTCGTTTCCTTAGAGATTGTTGCGCTCACCAAGGACATGTCTATTTGTCTTCATTGCTTAAAATTGAATTGATTAAACCTCATTTTGCGCCTCACAAAGGGACTACGATATATAAAATAGGCTTTCTAGCTCTTGCAGTGGGTAGATAAAAATAATATATGGAAGAGTTTTGAGTTTTGAAACTGATCGTAGCAACATTAAAATGAGCCTTAGAACAGGTGTGCACTGCAAATATTCTCAATTCAATCTCATGCCTTAAAGTACAACATTATCAAGGCAAAAAGGTCGAAAATAAAAATTATGAAAATCTGTTAATATAGTATGGGCCCATTGGAAGACTTTGTAATTATGTGTTTGTTTGTTTCAATCATCGTGCCGGCCTTACTTATTATTGTGCTGTCACTTTATCGCTTCAAAGGATATCTGGGCTACAATATGCTGAAACTGGCCTTCCATCGGCTGCCAAACACCTCCACGTGTACAATCTGTTTGGAAAGCACGAAGGATGGTGGACTGACCGCCGCATACCGTCTGCCGTGCAGCCACTGGTTCCACAAGACCTGCTTGAGTAAGTGGCTAGGTCACAACAATAATTGCCCGAACTGCCGACGCATCGTTGATTATTGGAACGGCATGAGGATCGAACCCATTGAACATGTTTATTTGGATTTTTTATCAGATGATGATTTTGATGACGATATACCGATAAGACCAAGGACTTTGTGGCCTAATTCGCGATTACCGCTATCTTCCCACCTGCGACGTGTGGAATACTATTAGTATGAGAAGTACCGACAAACTGGCATAAGGCAATAGAGATACTCCCCATATTATTTTCCATTACCATATGCATATTTATATTTTGGTTTTGGGGATCGGGGATGATTTTCTCAGAGCGCTCTGTATATATTTTTGACAATCTATATTTTTATGATAATTACCATACAACATTTTACTGTGATATACAAACCTGAAAGATCATTCAACGCTCCGCACAGCAACATGAATTATTATATTTTTGTAATTTACAAATTATGGAAACAAGAAACATTGCTAAATTTATATATTTTTATATTTATACATAAGTACATGAACTATGTTGCCTACCTTTCTATAGAAAATATATATAATGACTAGTTTGAATGATATTTGCTTAAAATCGACGGGTTTATCTCCAACCACAAAAGGTATATTAATATTCTTGGTATGAACGACGAGGTGAGTTGATGGGGTTCATTGTTCCTTCTCAGCAAGTTATTGCCTGAGTTTTGAAGCTATTTATGTGATCCATTCTGGGCAGTACACATATAGAAATCAGCGAGACCGGTTCAGTATATCATTTAGTTTGTTTAAGAATTAAATTCATATACATATATATATTTTTGTAAAATTTTTATTTTTATTTAAAATCTGCCTTTTGTCTGCTTAGTTTAGTGGTAGGTTCATATATGAACCAAGGCTAGAGACAAGGCTGGCCGATTCGAGCCTTGAACTGGAAGATATTGTTTACTAAGATCTGAACCTTAAACCAAATCGAAACAAATTGGAATTGGTTAAAAATAACAAACTTTTAAAAAAATAACTTTGGACCCAACTATGACATTATCTCAACATATTTGATAACTGTCAGTTTTGGGTAGAGATATAATGTAGCCCGCATATTGTATATGAAAATATATATGTATGTCTTGCTTTATTTTAGTACAAGTACAGTACAAGGGGCAGTTTTATAGAAGAAATTGAAATGTTTCATTCAAATTTTGAAAATATATGGCAAACATTTAAATCAAAACATGCGTTCCAGAATGCAGACAGACAGCTTCACGAACTACACATACAGGCAGGAAGCTGGTTCGAACCATGAACGGAGCAACCAAGCAGCCAGTCGTAATGGCAAGGTAATGAGAATGTTCCTGATCACACAATGCAACAAAAATGTTCGATAAACGATTAATATCAAGGTTCAGATTGTGAAGCTTGGGTTTCGCATGTATGTAACTAGGTTTTGGCTCGAAACTTTATGCAGACTTATTTTTTCCAATAATTCAAATAAATAAATTGTGTTCAATCAAAACATTTTCTGAAAAACATGGTTCGTCTCAGGTGGCTTCTACTCCAGCTAATTAAGCTTAGGATAATTAGGCTTAGCTTGGAAAAAGAAGGCTTGGCATTGCCTTTCACTACATTCTCTCAGACTCGCTATTTCAGATACGTACGACGAATATAATTTATATAATGCTTTGCTTATGTTATCGATTTTGAATGCATTCAGCACTTTTCACAATACAAATGGCAATTATTCCACTGAAAATGACTCTATTTTCAGTGGGAAAGCCATCGACATCGACATCAACATGCCATTATCATTATCAAACAGATACTGTTCGCAGCCGGGCAATATGTATACTGCACCGATTGCTGCTCCCGCTTCTGCCGCTGGTTGTGCTGGTGGTGCTCCTTCTGATGCAGTTGCCAACAAATCTGTTAGCAGTTGGCAATAATTGTGCTGCAGCAGAAACGTCCTCATAATTTCAGTGGCTGCTTTGTCCCTTTTCGGAGGCAGCATAATGTTATATGCCGGCTATTTTTGGGCTGGGCCTTTTATTGTTGCTGCCAGTGTTGTCATCGATGGCATTAATTTTGGTAAGTGCGCACAAAATCGGGTAGGGTATGTTGGGATCGAGGGGTGTGTGTGTGTGTGTGTGGGGCTGGCCTAAGAACTTGAAGAGACAGTTTTCAACACGCACTGGCAAACGATTTTTATGGCACGACATTTCCGAGCAACATTTTCTTGAATTACTCGCTCAATTTCCGTTGAATCAACATGCGAGCCGGAGCCGGTGCCGGAGCCGGAGACGAGAGCAACCGAACTGCAACTGCAATGTTAATTGATGGCCTGTTGCAATATTGTGTAATATTAATTAGTACCCGGCGCGACAGCCATCAAAATATAATTTGTAAATACATATTTGCGCAAACATTTTGCACTCAACTCACGATTTTTATTTCATAATATTCACGGCTCATAAACGCAGATACTTTGTTGCCTGTCAGCTTTGTTCTTGCTTTCTTCGCCATGCTCCATCCCCGGCTCCATCTTCTGCTCCATCTACGACTCCATCTCGCTCTGCCCCTCTATCTCTCCTTCTCTCCTACTTTACGGCCGATCGTCGTCCGTTGTGGGCACGTGCGTCTGGCATGGCTGTGCAGAGGGGGCGGCCAGGCGGGCGCCAGTTAGCTTGTCTTGTGCATGTTGCACAGATTTGTTTGTGGGCGTGTCGGCAATATGTCAATATCCACTCGAGAGTCGCGCATGCGTGCGCCCCAAATGCCCGGAAAAGGTAGTTTGCAGTTGTTGTGGCGTAGCCACAAAGGGTTGCAGCCCTCCACTTCTGCTCGGGTCTTAAAATATGCCACATCCACTAAACAAGTATTTCTACACAGACTTAATTCAAGCGACTAAAGGATACCCTGGCTAAGCTGTTAGCTGAACGAAAATGCGATAGATAAAACACGCATTGAACTAATCTAAGTCAAATATTTTGAATCTTGCAGATATTTGTTTTAATATGATCTGGTTTTATTTAACGCAAGTAAAATTAAATTTTAGCACAAGAAAATTCAGCTGGACCAGAAGTTTTTAAATGTGTACTTGTTTATTCCAAAAAAAAGATAGATAAATCTCACATATGATTAAGTCAGTGGAACTATTTAGTAATAACTTAAGCTATAAAAAGTTTTCAGTCTTGTTTTCTAAAACTTTTACCTGCTTCAGGAGTTTTTTTATATTAACTATTTTGATCAGTATATTGAGATCCTATAAAATACTATATTCAATAAAATTCTAGATACTTCATATTAAGACATAGTGAATTAGTTTAAGTTTCACTGACTACCTTAATATATCTTTCTATACCAATTGGAACAATACAATTATTTGGCTAAAAAAATGGACTAAATAAAATGCTACTGGATACTGCCGGTAAATTGAAGTAAATATGTTACAGGGTATTTAAACGAAGAAAAAAAAGGAAAATGTTAAGAAATGAAGAATACCAAACACACGACGCGCTCGCATAAACAAAGGTTCAAGTGTCAATGAAGAAAAAAAAGCGGAAAAAATAAGGCAAAATATAAACACGGTTTCACTTTCAAAGCGATTAGCTATGGACGCGCCCTGAACTTGTGCGGAAAATGTGGCAACAACAACAACAAGACACTGGGCACAAGTTGATAAGAAAAACAGGCACAGTTGCAGTTGTTGTTGTTGTTGTTGCTGTTGTTGTTGTTGTTGTTGCAGTGCCACTTGAAAACCGTCGAGCCATTTGACACCAACAGACGGGTCGACCGAACGAACGCAAATATCGATCGACCAGGCGACACACCGCACACCTACGACAGCGACACACGCACACACACACACCCACACAGACACTCATATATATATATATATATATATATATATATATATATGCATGAAGATGGACCTACCGCAGTGCTTGTCTGCAATAAATATTCAAATTTTCAATGGGACGATATTCGTTTTACAGTGGCATCCAGAAATCATCTTTCAAAGGGTCTTCGGTCTCCGCTGGGCCCTTTAAAGTGCCTGGCGTCTGTCCAGTCCATTATCATCATTATAGTATATCGCCTGACACTGCTGCTGAGCCTAATCGTAATCCAAGGCCAGTCTATATAGCCTTTGACTATGTTGTGCCAGTGCACATTGGAAATATGGCACCTTATACGTCATGCTGCGATAAGTCTTATCAGCAAAAGAAAAACGCCGCCCGCCGCCTTTGATTAGCAGCTGTCAAATCGAAGCTTACTAACTCAAATCTACAATAATATATAGCTTTGGGCCGCTTAAAGCTCGATATCTAGAAAACAAAGTATATGCAACTTATCAGCAACTTGATTTTTCCCATACAGATTAACATACATGCATGTTTTGTACGTATGTTTAATCAATGCCAAATGGTTACGTCAATTTTGTATTAATGAATCACATATTTGACACACTCATCATTTTTACTCATCATACTGACCGTTGGAAGTGTGAATTTTGGATAAGATTATAGCAGGTGCCTATAAAAAAAGTCTATTCATTTTCGGAATTCAAGGAAGTAGTACATAAATGTATGAATATGTGCTTTCTTTTTTCCGGTTAAAGTTATTTCTAAAGTTGTAGTTAATGTAATAGTTAAAGATAAAGTTTTTGTTGTGAATATATGTATATATTGAGTAACGATTTTTATACCATGAACCCATTAAAATTTGGTTAAATCAGGCAGAAAGAAGCATCTACGACCTTATAAGATATATGTATGTATATATTCTTGATCAGCAGCAATAGCCGAGTCAATCTAACCATGTTCGTCCAACTGTCCGTCCCTATGCATGAACGCGTCGATCTCAGAACCTATAAGAGCTAGAGACGTACGTCCTTCAAGTTTGTTTCCGATAATCGATAGCTTTCCTTGTTTTCTAGCAATCGATAAGTAATCGACATCGAATTCCATATATCTAGAATCAAATAGATCAAATATCTTTCATTTTACGGCTACAGTTTTCCCGTAGAAGAATAAGCTTCAGGGTATCCGCTAGTCGGGCACTCCCGACTACACCACTCCTACTTGTTTATTCAGTAAATCGCTAACTTCAAGCGGATCTTTGATTTAATAATTAATTTAAGGAGCATTCATTATGGGATTATAATAGTGCACTTACTATCGCAAACACCTTTAATAAATGTATTTTTTCTATATCAGCTCTGGAGAGAAAACTCTTTAATCGTGTTTTGGTTGATTTTACTTTTATTATCAAAGTACATAAATATCTTCACTAAATATTTCAAGAAGTTTTCTCTGAAGGCATTGATGAATAGTTCGGTTACCTTGATCAGATTGATGATTATTGTGCAATCTCTATATATAAAACTGTTTGTCCTGACTGACTGACTGACTGACTGACTGACTGACTGACTGACTGACTGACTGACTGACTGACTGATTGGTGATCAACGCACAGCCCAAACCGTAAGAGCTAGGAAGCTGAAATTTTCACTGTAGCTACCTTATGTGATGTAGGTGCACGTTAAGACGGGGTTTCTGGTAAATTCCACCCGCAAGTGTGGAAAAATCGCGAAAAACGTTTGTATGTAACTTTTTTGTTTACCATCGGATTGGCCTCAAACTTATTTTCAAAGATCTTTGTTCAAATTCATTTGAGGGGCGTTTCACACTTTTAGGAAAATCCATTGCTCCTTGGTGGAAATGGAGGTCAAAGATTTGGTGGGTGACGTTTCGCGCTCAAATTCATTTCCAGAGACCTATAAGAAAAATCATTTGAGACGTGTTTCACACTTTTCGCAGAATTCAAACTTCTTCGGGTGGAATGCGACTCAAAGATTTTTTGTGCGAAGTTTTAAGTTGTGTCCGATTTGCATCAAACTTATTTTCAAAGCTCTACATATGAATGTAATGAATACGTGTTTCAGCGATTTGGAAAATTCCACTCGCAACATTGGTAAATTGGCGGAAAACGTTTCTATGAAAATTGTTTGTTTACCGTCCGATCAGTTTCAAAATCATTTTCAAAGCTTTTTGAAAACATTGATTTTATAACATACGTGCCACGGGCAAGGCCGGGTTATACCCGCTAGTATTATATAAGAGTTTAGATACTTATCAAGTTGACAATAAACAAGAACTTTGTTGTCATGGCAATGTTGAGGTATTCGAACTGATTGATTCATTCATGAAAATGAGCTGCATTTGAAAATATAAATATAATTTTAAAATTGTAATATTTCTAATTCTTAAATCTCTAACACATGGACTATATGCCCTCCCCCCCGATTCTATGTCATGTGTCCATTCAACACGTTTGTGCTGCCTTTTGCCCTCGACGACACATCTGCTGGTTTGTTGTTATTGTTGTTTCTGTCTTTTCGTTGTGTGTGTTATTGTTTTTATGAATTTTTATGCAAGTGTTGAGAAATTTATGTGCTCCCAGGCCGTGTCTCAACTGGAAAGCCCGAATGCAATGCCAATTTGATGTTATTTATGGAGCCAACAATAACAACAACATCAGCAGCGGCATCAGCAAAAACCAACAGCAAATGGCGGTATTAAATTTTAGACGCTGCGAAAAACTGGGATAAACGGCCGGCCCCGTACGTGAGTATGACATATATATGACAGCTCTTTGATGATCGTCTTTTTGAAATTGCCCCCAGAACATATACATATACATATATATTATGCGACACGGCCAAAGTTCAATAGCGATACAATCAATCTCCGATCATAGGTTGGCTCCGTCCCATGCGACACGTCACTTTTTAGCTATTTTTGAATTATTTGTTGTTTTTTTTTTTTAATTTTTATGGATTTGTGTACTTATTGTGACTAATGAACGTCGAGTTTTGACGGCTTGTCATTTGGTTATTTTTCTGTTTCCTAGACACAGCTCTGACAACGTGTGAAATCGCATAGATGCCCGACGCATAGCCCTAATCTTAGGTACATATACATATATATGTAGGTATACTAGCATATACATATACATATATGACTATCACGTCACAAACGTGCCGTTACTAATGATAACGGCACCACATGTCACACGCCTCAACGCTCAGGGCTCCCACCCCAAGCAGTAAATGGATCGGTACATAAGTAGTATATACCATATTAAACACATTGCACCGAATGCACTAACTTACGTTGCCCATCACAGTTGAGCTTGGATAGTACGAGTACTCGTAAACACAATGTGGGTATTATGAATGTCGAAAGTCCATAACTGGAATACACGAGTTCCACAAGAAACTGTTCAATGTGATAATCAAGCTACGTAGGAACATGCACTGATAATTTGCCGCTACTCATTGATTAGATTAATCAGCATGACTGTACCTACATACTGACTTACATTTATTTAGTCACATTTGTACAAAGGTGTGGTCAGTATTGGGATTCACTTTTACACATGCTAAGCTCCCGTAACTTGATTATTCACAATGTGAATGAATCTTAAAATACATAGCTATACAGCTATAAAAACATAGCAAGTTTTTACTAAAATTTATTGCAAACTATCACGAAATGTCTGTTATATTCTTGCACTAATATTTTTTGAAAAATCATACCTTACTTGACCACAATCCATTATTTGTACATCCTGAGATACAGTTGCATACAATATCAACGAAATTTTTTTTAAACTCAGTTTTTTAAGTATGTAACCATAATTTTTTAAGAAGTGCCATAGAATGTGTGCAAAATATACAAATTCACATATCTGTACGCACACACAGATACACACGCACACACTCACACACGCATTTATACAAACATTTGTGTGTATACACTTGTTGCGCATTGCCTTTCAATATGTGCAGACGCATTCTGTGCTACCGCTTTGATGATCTGCCAGGCTGTAACTATGTACATATGTATGACAGCTTATCAGCTTTCATCTGTCAACGGGTGCAGCTTATCAAATTGGGGGAACAGAAACTGCATTTTGTGCGTGCGTGTGTGTGTCTGTGTGTGGGGAGGGGTGGGGCGATAAGCGTGAAAACAACAAAGTCAAAAAATCATTTCAATTTTCTTGCGCACGCAAGCACGGGGCCCAAGGTGTGCCGGCGTGCAAGTGTGTACACACTCTTTCGTTGGTTAACCGTAATTAAAACAATGGCACTTTTTGTTTATAAAAGAGCGAGACAGCCCAAGAGAGTGAGACAGTGAGAGAGAGAGAGGGAGATAGAGAGAGAGTGAGTGAAGGCGAACGTAAACAAAGGATAGCACCAATTGCCGCCTGCTGGCGGCCATTTTGTTTGTTCGATCATTTAACCGTTAGCTAAGAAATGTTTCATCTTATTTTTTCGATTCTTGTTAATTTAGATTTGGCTTTTATTGTTGAAACTGTTGCAGCATTTAAATGTTTTTATGTACATAGAACATGGAGAGATACGAGTAAAATAGAACACTTAGCAAACTTACACAATATTACAGTTTAATAACAATTAAAACACAATGCAAACGCATTTAGTATGAAAAAAATTGTAAAAAAAAAAATGTAGTTACAAGCTATAATTTGTTTACAATTACGATACATTTTTGGCATACTTTTGAACTAGACACAAAACTGTCGCTTAAGACTAACAAAAAAAAAAAATGAGTAGAATAATAATATTATTAATTAATTAAGTTGAGTAGAGTTTGGGTTAGTTGAAAATACTTGTAATACTTGAGTTCAGGCCCCAGGCTGACTACTTATAATAATACTTTGCATAGCGACCCGCCGCTTATCAGCGTGGTCCCAAATCGATATAGCTATTGGGCCGCATCATTTGATGCGCTGCCGCCGCGGAGCCGTAGAAGCTCTGATAGCTGCTCATGCCGTACGCGGCTGCTGCCGCCTGCCGCATGTGACCCGTGGAGACCTTCAGTTTGTCGTACGGACTGCCATATCCGTGACTGTGATAGTGCGCCGCCGCATTGTGATGATAGATGGCGCCAAAGTTGCTCTGCTCGCCCGCATACGGCTGGCCAATGCTCGAGTAGATGTTGGCCGCCGCCATCACCTGAGTGGCAGCGGCGGCAGCGGCAGCAGCACCCGCCGCTGGCGGTGACGCCGAGCTGGCCGAAAGCGGTGTCAATGGCGTTGCCGTGTGCTGATGCTGATGGTGCTGGTACGGATGATGATAGCTGCCTCCATAGCTGCTGGACATTTGGTGAAGGTTCTGCTGCTGTTGCTGTTGCTGCTGCTGTTGCTGTTGCTGCTGCTGTTGATGCTGTTGCTGTTGCTGATGCAATTGCTGTACCGCTGGCTGTTGCTGCTGCAGTTGTTGCTGGTGCTGCAGCTGCTGCTGTTGCTGTTGCTGCTGCAGCGGCGTCGCTTCCAGCTGAAAGCCCAACAGATCCGGCGAATTGCCCGACGTTGAGCTGCTCGAGGGCGTGGCTGGCAGCTGCATGGCCAGTTGAGTTGTTGCTGCTGCCGCAGCTGCAGCTGCTGCTGCTGTTGTTGCCGTCGCCGCTGCTGTTTGCTGCTCCACGAGCTCTGTGCAGGACAAGCTGAAGCTGTTAGCTGGCGGTCTGTCCTTTGCCTTTAAATGCTGCTGCTGCTGCTGGAGTTGATGTTGTTGCTGCTGATGCTGTTGCTGCTGCTGCTGCTGTTGCTGTTGCTGCTGCTGCTGCTGCTTCATGCGTGCTTGACTCTCATGGCTCATGCTGGACATGCCCAGGCTGCCGCTGGTGCTGTAATTAAAATTTTAAAATCAAAATTTTCAAATTGAAATCGCTTTCGATAAACATTAAACTCGCTCTCTTCTGATTTGTTTACAATCGACCCTCGGCCACAATGCCGAAATATGAAAAGCCAAGGAACAAAAAAAAAAAATTGTTTATACCACCGCCACGGCAGGCAGGCAGGCAGGCAGGCACATCTGTCAGCTGGCCCATCATAGCCAGCCGGAGCTGCTTATGCTCCACATTCTAAGTTGAAGTTCTCGCGCCCATTTTGAGTTATTGTTTCTTGTGTTTTATTTTTGTAGATGCGACGCGTCGGCAATTCCCGGAATGACTTTAACATCAGCGGTCGACGGACTGTCTAGTGGGCCACTTGTATTTGAATTGTGATCGACGATCTGTTTGGGCGCTGCTCTAAGTGGGTCAATTTCATAACAAATAATATCCCACTATCTGCCATAACTTATACAGTACAGTCATATTTGATCCCAAACAGATTTGTATATGATATAACTAACATTTGTACAATTGCTGAGAAATTGCGCTTAGCTAAGACTTCCTAACTAAATAAATAAATAAATGAATTTAGTTTATATGGGAGTTAGATTAAATTTTGATATTGTTCTTTCATCAACGGTATTTCTTATAAATATGCTTGTAAAATCTTGTAATCAAAAGTTCAGATTCCCATATCGTCTTTCTGTTGTATTTCGGCGTAGCAAGGGTATTTATTCTTCGCCAAGCCGAAGATGTTTTTGTTGTTTTTCAACAATTATGTCTAAGGCTTATTTATTCACTTTTGTGTCGTATTTTGTTAAGGCTTACACAAGATTTGTGTTTGCTGCTTGAGCCATACAACTTATTAAATATATATTCATACTCACATATATTTTCATTCTATGCCTGTTTTGTATGCCTATTAAGATTTAAAAATGAAAATTTATATTGGCCTACTTACACATCGTTGGTGCCATCATCTCGAAATCCTTTGGCAAACGGATTGCTCGATATTTTCAGTTGTGTCACCTGCAACAAAATTCAAAAAAAAAACAAGCACACGGAAGATATGACAAATTTCATTTTTCACGCAAATGTGTGTAAATTGTTTTGGCCCCAATTATGTTAATAATAGTCAGTGTGTGTTTGTTGTTGTTATTCTTTCGATAAATGCAACAAATTAGAGAATGTTTACAAAGCATTAAAGAAAACAGCAACTACATAAGCAACAACAACACACACACACACACACGCACACACACACACCCACAAATTTATTTGCAATAAATTGTGGAACGAAAAGTGTTAACACCCACGTTGAGCGCATAAATAATTTAAATACTTTCGGTTAAATGGCGCTAAAAATAAAATGCCAGAGATTTTTCATATTTATTTTTTTTTCTTCTTGTGGCTGTCCACCACTTGGAAAATTATGAATTTCATTCGAAAAAAAATCCACAATAGGGTATTAGAAGTTTTTCAAGCAGAGAGCTTTTTAAATGCAGTTCAAGTAAATTCTTTTCCTCTGATATATTTTATCACGGTATACTATATCTTTTTTATTATTTTATAGTTTTTATCTGTTATTTTTGCAATATTAAGCGTGTGTTGATAGAAATAAAAAAAGGAACACAATTTTAATTAGGTTCCTGGCTTAAATCATATCTCATAATATATACGCAGATATTATTGATTCTAGGGATTCTACGGTTAGCTCTCAATAGTAGCTATAAATAACAGATGATAATATATTTATATAAACTTTAAAATTTAATGATTATTTTTTTTTAATTTTATGTATTGTCTCACAAAGTACTGATTACATTTGAGTTTTTCATAAAGATCAAGTCATATTTTCAAGTAAAATTTGAGGATAAAACTTAAAAGTTAAAAAATCTTGTTTGTAAAGTGTATCTGACAGTCGATTAGCGTGTTATATGACACTAGCTCATGTATTGTATTTTTGGTTTTTCGAAATAGAATCCCGATCACATTTAGATGGTACGCATTGTAAATTAACAATCATAAAGAACACCAGAAATTTAAGCATTAACAATGATGCCAAAATAGCATAAAATGCCAGCGAAAGCTTTGTAAAATAATTATATACATATCATGCAGAAGGCAAACAAGTGGGGAGCGGGGGGCCCAAAATCTTGTCGACCAAATGTTTCAAAAATGTAAATTTGAAAACCGAAAAGCGTTCACGCCTGTCGTTTACAAGTGGGTCCGATGACAAGTGGGTCAAGTAGTGCCCCGTACCCTGTTCCCATGTCCATGCCCCAATCCCAAGCTCAAGCCCATCTACTCACCCGCTGGTTCTGGTATGCTGTTACGGCCGTAAAACTGGTCTCCGGGAATATGAACGTGCGAAAGTGACTCGAATGCTCGTTCTCATCCAGCGAGGCATTCTTTGGCGGCAAGTAGACCAAGTGGAAGCGCGGCTGGTAGCGGTGCATGGAGTTCAATATGATCTGTGAATGGCAATTGTATGGGGCAGAGGGGAAGACATATGTGTATGTTAGATGCGTGCAGAGTGCTTTCGGATGACGGCTGCCGGTTTTTGTTTAGCGCTTTCAAAACACAACAACACATAAACGTTGTTTGGCGCGGGCGGCGACCAAATGTTTTATTCCCCCGCATAAACAAAAGCCATCAGCATAAATTTATGGCCCAACTAAATGCTGATACTCACATGCCCATTCTCATCCAGCTGATTGTTGGTCAGCTTCAGCTTGTCGAAGGACACAATTTGCTTCATCCAATTGGCGCCCGCCGCTGGCGAATCCGGATGCACATGGATCCGCGGTGGCGATATCGCGTCCGCCTTGCCCGCCACAACCCAGCACGAGCTGCAGAAGAGACAGAGACACCAAGTTGAGCACATGTGCTAAGTTGTCGCCAAATAAACTGGATAATACTTGTGAAACGCATAGCGATAACGCTTATCATCCATCGGCACAAAGTCCATCATGCATATATAGGTGGCATGCGGATCGAGGCCGCCGATCCGCACTTGAAACGTGGGAAACATGCGACGACCCGTCTTCGTAATGATCATCTCAGTGCCCTGCGCATGAAACTGATCCCACAGCGCTTTCGTTTCCAATACAACAATGGCCTGCGCCAGCGATGGATGCACTGGCTCCGGTTCCTGAACGCATTTAAAGAACACAAGGCAAGGAATATAGAAGTATATATATGGAAAGATGCATAAGAACAAAAAAAAGAAAAACAGAATATCTTTTTAAACATTTGGATTAGAAATGATTAACAATAAAGAAGCTTAATTTTCGAGCGAGTGTACCTATAAGCTCCATATGATATATCAGTCCGAATTGATACGGCTTGTAAAGATATATTAGGAGTTTAGTAGAGCTCACAATTGCCGTGTTGGGATATTTTGTAAAGCTACAAAGTTTTCAATACAAAAACAAAGTTGTCGATTGATTCTTTTTATAAAGCTATAAGATATGGCATAACGATGTTGGCAAAATGTCAAGCTAAGCTAAGTTATATTGAAAAAATATGGATTTTCATACAAGAATTTAATTTTCAACAGTTCATTCCTATAGCATCTATATGATATAGTGCTATGATCCGATCGGTTCCAACATATCTACTGCCTGCAACAAAAAAACATAACAGAAAAGTCTAATTCAAATAGTTTTAACCCTAAGGCACCAAGGTTTGCCTAGAAACAGACAGATCAGACAGACATATCGAATCAGCTGATAAAACTGGTCAAGAAAATATATGTTAAATGTGATCGGAAACAACTACCTGTCCATGCGATTCACAACAAAATAACCCTCTAAAAGGGAGTAACAATGTGAGAACTAAAAGTGCTATTAATGTATAAGAAATACTATATAAAATATATATCGAGGTGATATTTACGAGTTTAAAATTTATATATTTCTAGCGTATGCTGATTCTTCTTTTCTAGTGCATCAGTCAAAGCGTACATCTCATGCATTTGTTATTTAATCTGCATGTTAAAGTTTACAAGGCGGTTTTTTAAAACACTAAGCTTGCAATGCTGCCACCTTGCAACACATTGAACATTTGCAACACCGAATTGCGATTCACGCTTCAACTTTTCGACGAGGCTTTTGCAAAATTTTACAGCACTTCGTCTGGCCAACTAACATGAGCTTTGACATGAGCATGGACCTTTGCAAATTGTTGGTAACTAACTGATATTTATTTGATTTAAGCATTTTAATTCGTTTGACACTTACACCCTTGTTGTTGCTGTTGTTCTTGCTGCTGCTGTTTGACGTGTTGTTGTTGGTTGTGATATTGTTGTTGTCTTTTTTGTGGCTGTTCTTATACTTTTTGGCCGTTGCTGCTGTTGTTGTTGGCGTTGTTGCTGCTGTTCCTGTTGTCGACTCATTAATGTTGCTGCTGCTGCTGTTGTTGCTGCTGCTGCCGCTGCTGTTGTTGTTGTTGCCGCCGCCGCCCGGGTAATCTGAAACAGCGGACGTCTGCTCCTGACAGTTTCCGGCGCTGCTCGATTGGCTGCTGCTGCTGGTGCTGTTGCTACCTGTGCTCTGCGCATCGATGTCCGCCAGCTTGGCATCGATCTGTTCAAGTGGCTTGTACGAGCTGCGATCCTTGCCCGCCGTTTGTATGCAAGCTGTGAATGAGGCACGAGCGGATTTCGATTGACAGATTTGTTTATGGCTAGCTAAACAGTGTGTGTAAATAAACTGATGCTCTGGCATTAGCCTGCATCTAGGATTTAAATATACTATGTCTATATATGATATCTACTTATTTTCATTAGCCGCTTGTAAGGCAATTTCCAAAAACTTGAATACTTAAGAAAAAAAAATATATATATGATCTAATCGGGTTTGATTTGATATGGTATGTGTCTATGCTTCAGAATCGCAGCTCAGATATATATACTTATGAGCTGACGAACATGTGTAGATCGAATCAGCTGTAATTCTGAATAGCTGAATATGTTAGTTCAATATGTGAAGTTCCTTCTCTTAACGCTTAATACTTGTCCCCTATTTAGCAATTTGAATCTGATATTTAAATTTGTTAAACATAAATAAATACTTAATTTTTGCATTTACAATACTAAGGATTGGGTAAGGATTGAAAAAAGTATAATTTTTGCTTTTTTAAAAAGTTAAAAATTACTTTTTGGTTGCAAGCTTATCATATGTCAAATAAAAAAATCATTATACAATAAATATGTTCTATCTTGAATCTCTGAAGAGTGTAGGATGTAGTAGTTACCTGACTATTCTAAAATGTAGAGTAATAGTTTTTAAAAATTGCTTAAAAATTAATAATAACAATATTATTGACAGTAATAAGATGAATAATAATAATGATAATAATAATGGCAGTTATAATGAAAATCATAATGATAATGATAATAATTGAAATAATAATAATAATAAAATTGATAATGATAATATTATTAGTAATAATAATAGCAATAATAATATTAATAATAATAATCATCATAATAATAATAGTAAGAATAATAATCTCATTATTAAATTTTTAGTTGTTAATAAAATTAAAATGTTCTGTTTTGGTAAATCTTAAGCACAATTCATATCTCACAGAATTTAATGTTTGATTACAACCAGGAAGTATTTGCATATAACTTTCAGAACAGAAAATATGTGAGAGCCGAAAAAGCTATTTTATATACTACCTAAGATTTAGAAACTATGAAAAATAAATCGAAATACTGCTGTCTAGAAAAACAGATATTGCCTATAAATCTTAATAAAAGGAATTTATGATATTAAGGTGTATTTCGGAATTGCTTCTCAGGTGTGACATGGTGCAAAAATATGCAGAACAAATGAGCGGAAAAGCCACGCACATAAATCAAATGAGATTTATATGTGGAAACGAGTGTTGGCCAACATTTTTCATATAGTTTTTCAGATCAGATGTATATATATATATATATATTTTGATTTATTTGATTTAAAGTACGACATCAAACAGATGGCTTCGGAGAAGGTCGCGCAGGCGCAAGCCAAAGGATGGTGGAAGGGAATGATGAGGACACGCGCACACGACAAATTGGATCAGGCGGGTATAATGAGCGGCATATAAAACCAGCGAGAACAGCGTCGATCCAATTATAAAAGTCGTCAGAGCAGCGGCTGTTGATTGAGTTGCCAGCTAAATTTAGTGCCCCCGCGGCGGCCCTTCAGAGAGGCAGAGAGGGAGAGATGGTGTAAGACAAGGCAACAGGCGCCTCGGCCTGGGCCTGGGCCTGGGCCAGTCAGCAATTTCGCAATTAATTGCCGCATGTAGCAAGTGCCAGCCGTTGCAGTTGCAGTGTTGCAGTGTTGCAGTGTTGCAGTTGCATTCCGTTTGCTTGCCGCTCGCTGTTGATGCCACCGCCAATGACCCATGACAGGTCGCCGTCGCACGCTCCACCATCAATTGTCGTTTAATGAGCCCATTTTTTGTTCTGCTCGGTGATTTAGCCGGCAGCCGCTTCACGAATGAATTCTAAAATCAATTAGCGTTTGGCACAAATAATCGTTTTTCTGTCACGCCAACCCAACCATCAAAAAAACCAAAAGCAAAACTATGTGTATGTAAATAAAAGAAATCAACAAAAAAAAAAGCGGGTAAATAAATACAAAAACAAATTGTCACACCAAATTTTATTGCATGCGTCTCGAGAATCTGAAGAAGTTTTGCGCTAATTGCCCGCTTTGTTTATATTCTTGCTTAAAGTATTTTCGGTTATTTTTCACTTTCGATTCGGTTGAGTTTCGGGGCGCCAAATTGTGCCAGGTCACAGAGCTGATGGATGGGTACAATCGGAGCATTTAAGTACTTATCATTCAAATAGACAAGTGATACATTAGCCAAGTATATATATATATATATATATATATATATATGAGATCTGGTATCTATTGTTCCGGTTATGGATAAATTGCTCCATGTATACGAGCTATGTCTACGTTGTAAAGCTGACTAATTGAAGCTTGCTATAAGAAGACAATTATTTTCAAGTTCAGGCAGTCGATACATATTTTAAGCCCAACTGCTTCATGCCCAGAATTCCCATATTATCTTTATATATAATCCGAGCCTTGGAACGCATCAAGGTCCAAAAACCAGACGAGTCCAAATGTGAACCAAATCATACTATTTGAAAACATAGCCTGGTTATAAAATGGCTGGATTAATGCTTGAAAATATTGTTGCAACATTTTTAGGCAATATTTTAAATGATTTGAATTTGTTGAATAAACTTACTATTGTCTTTTAAAACTAACAAAAGAAGACGTGATTGGAACCGTGATAATACCAGCAACAATTATATCTTCAGACTCTAAAAGACTTTCCATATACCTTTATAAACGCGCCTTTCATATTATTGGTAACTGTTAATGTGTGATTTGATGTCGAGTCAATGCTACTCGAAAACGTACATTTATTTAATTTAGATTCTATTAGATCCTTCAAACCGGAACATAATGTTTGACTAGCCCAATTACTCAGCGTTAAGCCTATGAAATGCTAAAATGAACTTCTTTCAATAAATAAAATTACGACACTTTAATAATTATATTTAAAATTAGTATTTAGTACAATATAAGAACTATATACTATTATAGTATAGTTAGTATAGTATAAACTAACACAATATTTTTGAAATAGCATGGGCTACTTGAGGCATCGGCTTAATCAGTGTTTAGTTGCCCTAATGACTATGTCTATTTTTTCTCAACCCGACCCTCGTTACTTAAAAATGTACCAGTTATCATTGCAAACTGATATTTTGAATGCGCTCAGTATGATTTGCATATAGCATATGTGACTATATTAAATGATGAGGCAACAATCAATTGATATTGCATTTTTTGTATGAGACATTTGATGTATTTATTTAAATGCTACTCCAAACTGATTTTGTTGGCATAAGCCACAGCAACAATTTTTTTTTAAATATTGATTGCCAGCTAAAAAAGCGTTTTAAGCATTTTAATTAATGCATTTTTCCAGCCATTTCCGAATAATAAATAATAACAATAAAATATATGAAGCTAGACATTAGACAAAGTTTGTTTAAAAAGAAATGCTAGCCAAAATGGTTTGGTTCAAAATAAAAAACCTTTCGAGGCAGACCCCGTCGCTATGTATAAAAACCTTAGGATCCAACCTTGGCATTTATCCAATCATATTTTTATATAATAGTTAGATGCCAAATTTTGGGTAGAGATCAAATTTAGCCCGCAGCTTCTATATGAAAATATCATATTTCAATGTTTTCAGTAAAACGGGCAAATGGTAATTTTAAAATATGAAAATGTTTCAGTTAAATTTTAAATATATATGACAAAGATTGAACCAAAAACTGAATGAGGAATAGCAGCTTTAGAAAACGAAGCTAAGGAGAAAGCGTTGGTTCGAACCGTCAACAAAAACAACGTATATTTTTTGTCTGGGGCTTACAAAACTGATTCGTTTAAATTAAGAGCATAAAAGAAACCTCAATAATATTGTCACTTTCAACTCAAAGCTACATTCGTAAAGAGATCAGATTTGCCACATCTATTTCATTGCAATTAGGGCTTGACCTATAGTTCTTCTTCTTATTGATGCTATTTATGTTACGTATATACTTATAGTTAAGCTGAATTTACACTTAACTTACTTTCTTAACTTTCTAAATGTTAACTTATGAAGGACGAACGATAGTAGATCGAATGGATCGATTGTTTAGATCTTAAACATATATTGAGTATATTTGCCATTGTTTGACTCACCTTCAATCTGTTTCATGGGACTCAGTCCGCCGGTTGTGTAGGGAGATGTCCAATAGTCATTTGCATAGCAGCCATAATCCGCCAGATTGCCGTTGAGGCCATTGTCCAGAAATGGCATTGTGGCCACCATGGCGCTGGCGCATTCCGTGGGGCCCATCATGTGTGTCATTTGGTCGATTTGTGGACTTTTGCCTTGAACGTTTCGATATATAAACGACTATATATGTGTATTTGAGAGTCCAATTAACCCACAAGGTATATGTATACCGAAAATACAACAACAACGAAAATAAACACGAAATTTGAAAAGCTACTGAATCATTTAAATTGTTTTGGTTTGGGTATTCAGTTCTTGGTTTGTTTTGACTTGAAAAGTTTTTCGCGCAGTTGTCAAATTTGATTATTACACATGCACACACTGCAAAAAAACAAATAGAAAAGAAGAAGAAACTAATGGGTTGGCAACAACAACAGTGCAGGGGCAAATCGGGTCTATAAACAAAATTCAAATGAGGCCCGCGAATGTGTGTTGTTGAAAAAATTGGAAGCTGCCGTTCAAGTTGTCAGTGTGTCAATCAGAACAACAACAACAACAACAACACAATAGAACACACAAAAAAAAGTGATTTAAGAAAAAAAAAACACACACACACACGAAAAATTGCAATCGCTTCAACACCTCGACGCAATTTTCAAATATTTTTACCGATTTTCCGTCTCGTGTTATTTTCTTTTCGATTTCCCGTTTAAAATTTTTTTATTTTTTTATTTTAGAGTTTGGCGTTTTATGGTCCGATCGCGTTGACTGCCAAATTCTCTTGTTTCTTGACACAAAACAAATTAATTGAGCGCACGATTGATTGAATATACTCGGCCGCTCGCTAGATGCTTGATGCTTGTTGTAGCTGTTGTAGCTGTTGTTGTTGTTATTACGTATTGCGAATCCGAAGCGTTGAGGTGTCTCAATTGCCACCTTCCGGCCAAGTGCGAACTGATGTTGTCGATGTCGATGTCGATGTCCGTGATCCGTGATACCGCGCTGCGCGACTGTCGACACTTGACTCGCATTCAAATTGAAGTTCCACTGACTGCTGCTGCTGCTACTACTGTTGCTGCACACGCGCTCGCATCCGTATTGTCAAGAGTTTGGCTGCGGAATGAGAAAGACGCATCGCACCCGCCCGTCCAATGGATGCTCGCTTCGCTGGGATCATGATGCTGGCGGCGATGCTCACCAATCGCTGCGCCACTTGAGACTTGCACACGACCGATCAGCATCCAAATTTAGCATTGCCTATATGTGTGTGTGTGTGTGCTGTGTGTGTGTGTGCTATGTGTGTATGTGTGTGTGTGTGCTGTGTGTGTGTATCCAAGTGCATGCGCCTATGTGTAGGTGCGCATCGAGTGACCAATGGCAGCAAAGCTTCACTCTGATCATGGACGAGTAATTTGGTCGAGCAATACAGGTCTCTGCATACGCTACAGCACAGCTTTTTGGGCTAATGATTCGTGCAGGCAGCTGTATAAGTAAACATAGACGATGAAATATCCCTTAAATAGATTTAGGGAATATATATAAACACATAATCAAGCATGTTAGTATTATACTCTGCACTATCTTACGCGTTTTCTGTCTTTTGTGTCTATTGTGTATATTAATTAATATATGATCTCTGAGAATTTAAAAAAAAGGAAAAGCATTTACCATTTATTAGAAGCGAAAAATGCTAGGCTAGTGATGTGCTCACATGTTTAACTATAGGGTATCCGTGTATGTGGAGCATCAGCTACAGTAAAGACTGTTGTAAAACAATTTATACTTGCCCTTACATTTTGACTACTGTGTATTGTCAGCCATACTTTACTTTAAGCTCCAAGTGAAGCAACTTCAATAGATATAAGCCTCTGAGTAAAAATATGTAATATATATAAAATATATATAGTTATTGAAATGTAAGAAACCCTAAAGTCCACACCTTTAAGACTTTCGGCTATTAGCTTTTCCAGACACTAAAATAAAAAACAAAATGATTTTAGTCTCGCTCGCTCTCTGGGAATTTTCTTCATTTTTCACTTTGCTTAAAGGTCTATTCATAGCTGGTCGCTGTCCCTTGTAGGCAGCGTTCACTGTGCACTCCATATGCGATATGTGCTCCCTCTCTTTAACAATTCGAACGAGCGCTGATCTTTGGCCACGCCCCCGGCATAACATAACTGGTCGAGGCAACGGCCTGCTGGATTGCTCTGCTCCGATGATCTCCGGTTTGAGTGGGCGTGCTGACTCATTTGAATGCGGCTGGCTCTGCAGGAGAAGCGTGTACGCTTCAGATGGCCCTCATTTGGAAAATGCTTTTAATTGGACTGCCACCACATGGTGGTGTGGTGGGCCACATAGCCGGAGCCATAAATACAAATTGCGCCATAACCTCGACACTAAATAAACCGTAAAGAGCGGCCCTCGATGATCCGATCTCGGCGAGCACCGACGGCTACAGCGGGGGCAACATCAGCATTTGCCGCATATCTAGCCGCTGCTGTTGGCTCGTCAAAAAAATGGCGTCTGTTAGCCATTAGCGTGGTTGGCCCGCTGCCTGCCACTGCGCCTGAGCCGATCAAAGCAAATGCGAGCGGGATCTGTGCTGCTGCTTTCCTTTCCTTTCGTTTTGTTTCATTTTTTTTTTGTGTTTTTGTTTTTGTTTTTGTCGGCTTTGCTTGTTGGTGTCTGTTTTTCATCACCCGCACTCATTCAATTAACGGTAAATGCAGCAACAGCCGCCATCGCTGCTCCAAACGCTTAAGTTTCCAATTGTTTCTACCAAACCCACACCCCCTCCCCCTCCCCCTTTCACTACCGCACACCTGGGTATTACCTGTACCCCCGACTATTGCTCTATTTGTTTACCTTTGCATTTTTGGTGCATACATACATACTACGTCGTCTATCTATAAGTTTATCTACGTCTATATTTATACATATGTATGCATTGTTATATTGTTGTTTCCAAGCTATTCCATTATAAATCTTAACATCCAGTTACGCCCAGGATTCACATTGCCCGCTTCGGGTGCTCTGTTGTTTCTCTGTGCGCTGTTTACAATTATTTTGAATTAAGTGGTTTGCAGTTTGTTTGCCTCAGCCCCAGCGACGATGCCAAGCAGGCAGCAATTCCAGAGTCCGAATCGATCCAATCTATCTAAACACAATCGAACAGCAGAGTACATAAATAATACATATGTTCTCTAAGTTATGGCATGTTGCTATTACTTTTTAATTGCCATAATTTATTTATCATTTCTGCCAAAATGCAAATCATAAACATTTAATATACAAATTTTTGAGAACATGCGTTGCCGAAATACCAATTTTGAGAAGCGCATAGAAAGGCGCACGTTTCACAGCATGTGAATGTGAGACGGCAAAATATACACATGTTTAGCAACATTTTCTAGATGAGGCATATAATTACGGGTTTTTTTTTTGTTTTCCATGCGATCTGTTTTAGACTCATGAAATATTACTGGCAACGTGCCTGTTTGCTAGTGGGCGTGGCTCTAGTTGTTTACAAGAATATACTATATATCAAGTCTCCAGCTTCAAAAGCTTTGAACTATCATACATAATTATACAGAGAACATCAAGGCAGACGTTGCACAAAATCAATATATTCTTTTTTACTTTATGAATACTTTATAGTTTAATTATTTAGCCTTTTAAATAACAAAATTGAGTTCATTTAATAGCAATCTGCTCTGCGATTTACGTGCTTTACAAACAACGTATCTCCGCTGATATGAATAATGAATACGCATTCACCGATTTCTGAAAATCCACCCAAACTGGCGGAAAATAGGGGGAAAATTGATAAACTATAGTAGCTAAAAAATAACCTTTTTCGTTAGTCTAATTAGCTGCTCTTCATTCATTCTCACGACATTGCAAGCAACTTTCATGGGATTTTACATTTTATCAATTGTTTAAATTGGTTGAAAACAGCCAAATGCAAGTTTCAGGATTTTTCACAGTTTTTATATCAAGCCATAAAAAATTACAAGTTTCTTGACTTATTAAATGAACAAATCCAATTCGTGAAGACATTAAGAAAACTTTACTGTCATTCACTTGCTTTTTCCAAGGAATCTGAATAGCTAAATGGATCTGACCACACCTAAAATTTATAAACATATACATATATTCACTAATTTACATTTTCAAAACAAAAAAAAAATGAACAAAAAAAAATGGTTAGTCTAACCAAATTAGGCACTTTTCTTGGATATTTCAAGCTATTTTTAATCGAGGTAATCAATTTTTGGCAGCACTGGCATGTGTCTAATCCGTGTAATACGTACATATTGACTAATATTGGGTCGATTGAGGTAAACTTGAAATAATAATATCAATAATAATGTTAACTGTTGTTAGTAAAGCATTTGGTATTGGTCTGTCTTTGGACTTGTTGGGTTTATATGTTGCCCTCTTTTGGAATAGTTTCGAGTATCGTAATATTTATGTATGTACATCCGTTTCTGCTCAGCATGCATATTTATCATGGATATGACGAAAATTTTGAATTAACTGAAAATAATTGACTTTTTTCATGTGCTGCACTTTGCTAGGCGTACAGATTAAAATTTTGTCAATTGAATCAGAACCAAAACCAAAAAGTAACTAAAAGAAGGAAAAAAAAATATTAAAGTAAACAATTTGTCCAATTCCTGATCCAAACTGTGGGCCAGTTTCTGGTAGCCGCGTGGCTCTTTTTTTGTTTTTTTTTTTGTTTGTTTTATTTCTTGCAATTCTTTTGGTTCTTCCTGATATTGGAAATGATGCTACGAGACATGCGGCCAGCTGCCAGGCGTAATCCGTTGCGGAATGGCTGGTGCTTGAAGCTCAGACAGCGTTGTAGATCCTCCAACAGATCATCATCTTTGGGCAAGTTGTTGTTGTTCTTCTTGCTGTTCTTGCTGCTCTTGTTGCTGTTGTTGTTGCATGGAAAGTCGGTGCCGGAGACGGAACTCTTCAAGTCACAATTGGCTTCTAGTTGTTTAGCATCTGCCCTCAGATCGGCATCGGCATCGACGTCGGCATCGGCATCGACGTCGGCATCGACATCGACATCGACATCGGCGTATTTGAGCACGTTTGGATCCGTTGACTTGCGATTTTTCTTGACGGTACTCTTGGAGCAACACCAGTAGGCGGCCAGAAAGTCGAGCTCGTCGGAAGATGTTGAGCTCTGCTCCTCCTCCTGCACACATTCCTCGATCTTTCGTTCTGGCTGCCGTATAAAACTGTTTGTGGACAGCTTCATGTCATCCGCGCTAAGCGAACGCTTCACCCTCAGATGATCACGTGTCCGGCGTAGTCCACTGGGTGTACGCTCGTGCCCGCCCTTCTTAACAGTCTGCTCATAGTTTTCGGCAATGCGCGATACGTGACGCTGTTTTTGGTCCAGCTTGTCCAGTTCCAGCTCCTTTTCGCGATACTGCTTGGGCGTCAGCACCAATGGCTGCCAGTATAACTCCAGCGTGGACATGCGCTTCACGCCCTCATCCTCCAGGATGCTGTCGTTGGTCAGCAAGCGTCCCTTATATGTCAGCCTGCTGAATGCCATCGGTACGTTCATGCTGCGACCAATGCGCTTCTTTAAATCGGCCACGTTCCGGGAGCGATCGGTCTCATATATGTTTTTGCGACCGTCACGGGTCAGGACTTGGATCTGCAACTTGCGCATCTTACAAACGGCAACTGGAATGTGCATCTAAAATGGATTGAGTTTGTCGGACAGTCCACGTAGAAATGATTTATGCAACTCGTCTGCTATTTAATGTAATTTATTACGGAAAATTGTGTGTAAGCCTTTAATCTGGTTGTTTCTTAAACGAAATAAAACTCAAAGCATCGCCTGTGATTTTACAGATTGAAAAAAAATAAATAAATAAACTAAATCAAACTAAAAATTCAAACTAAATACATTTATTTAACTGCATTTACTTAAGGTGTTTACTTTTATAAAACTTCCTCACAAGCTCACATGTGTATGCAATGAAATTCGTGTTCAGTTTCGAGTATCGAGAATTCACAAGCTTGTTAAGTTGGCTGCGGCAAAAATTAAATATATTATGCAGTTATTATAACTTTTAAAGTCATTTCAAATATTTTTATATGACTAAAAGTTTTAACTGAGCTAAAGCTTCAGGTTGCAAAACTTTTTGAGCCCGGATTTTCATAACCACGATTTTTATTTGCCATGGACCAAACCTTAAGCCGTATTAGTTGATTAAAGAACAGCAGAACCCTTACCTGAAGCTGGCAATATTTTACTTAAGAGTTTCCTTTATTGGGCTTAGAAAAGTTTCAGCACTCGAAATCAGCATAAATAATTTAGCTGGCTGTATAACTGGCTCAAGATAGGGATTTTTATTTTACTATATTTTACTTCGAAAATCCACATCAGACAATGCGGACGTGTAAATACCAATATATTGGCTAAATTAAATAAAAAACCGAGCCAGCTAAAACAAACAACATATAAATAACAAGTAAGAGGTTCTAGTCGGGAGCTCCCGACTAGGGGATACCTCAGGGTTCCTCTTCTTCCAACAGACGATAGGTATAAAATAAAAAATACTTGATACATATATACTGTTCTAGAAGCTACATATCAAGTTTGGTGACTCTAGCTCATATTATTTACCGAAATTGCCCAAACAACAGGATTTCGATATCGATTTTAATCGATTACTTGAAAACGGGGCAAGTAATCGGAAAGAAACTAGATCTGCGCGGGGACTAGGAGGACCTACAGCTAAAATTTCAAGTCTCTAGCTCTTATAGGTTCTGATATCCTTGCGGTCATACATAATGAAAGACGGACGGACAGACAGACGAACATGGCTAAATCGACTCGGCTATTGATGCTGATCAAGAATATATATACTTTATGGGGTCGGAGATGCTTCCTTCTGCCTGTTACATACATTTGCACAAATACATTATACCCTCTTTACCCATTTTCAATAGGTTCAGGGTATAAAAACATTTGTGATAAATTGATGTAAGGCTTCGAACCCAAATCTGGGCTCGCGGATGTGGAAAACCAGATCCATAAAACGAACCTTAAGACGAGGCATGGGTTTGAACCAATCTCGAACCGAGCCATCGAAAATGTTTGTCATGGTACATACATATATACATATATATATAAATATATATATGTATATTAATGCTCAACATTCCGCTCGTAAATGGGTTTCCTATGACTAAGTGAATTACCCCCCCATACATAGTGTTTATTATATCGTTGATGTGCATGTATGTGCCTGATGGATGCTCTCCTTAGAACTGTTTCCGCATTTGTCTCGAACGCAGAGTCAATTGAGAGACTGCCGTTTGTTCTCAAGGCGTTGATAAATTTATGCATTGGCGGAGCTTCCGGTTCCATTCGGCTCTACGGGATGATTATGTGCGTGTGTGTGTGTGTGCGAGTGTGTGTGAGTGTTCTGTGTGTGCTTGGCGGCAAATGTCAACCGTTGGAGCGGGTGGGCAAGTGGCAGCCAGTCCTTAGGCAGTGGCCAACTCAATGGCAGCCCATAAAAACTACAACATAATGTTGCGACTGCAATTGGAAATCTTTGTTGTTGCAGTTCAAAGGCGCGATGTTTTCATCATTCCACCATAATTACTTCTATTTTTTTTTTTTTGTTAATTTCTATTTTATTTAAAAAATATGCGGCATATGCAAAATGTAAATTGTAAATATATAAAAAAAAAATGGGCAAAACAAATTTTTAAATGTCGTTCAATGCTCAACAATAATTGCAGCCAGCAGCTGCAGTGTCCTACAGCAGCAGGTTGATAAGGGCGCAGGCCAGCACCAGGGTCAGCGAGAGGATGACGGTGACGGCGCCATCGCGAGCCACCGGGATGAGCGTATCATTGGCCAGCAGAGCATTGCAGCCATGACCCTCGCAGGTGAAACAGTTGCCATCAATGATGCACTGCTTGTTGGCCTGTGCGGTGCTGAGGCAGCCGCGCTGGAAGGAGCCATTTACCAAGCGATTGCTGTTGCGAATGAAGCACTTGTCACCGAGGCGGTAGACTGGACACACTTTGCTATAGGCATGGTTCTCGATGGCGCAGCTGGAATTGGTTGAATTGCCGGAGCATTGCAGGCACTTGGGGCGATATTGTGGGAAAATCTGACGATTGCAGCCCTCCATGAATGTGCAGGTCAAACATTCCAGCTCATTGTTGCATGATTTCAGCGTGGAATTGTCCAGATCGCTGGCACAGCCACGGATCGTGTAACCATCTGTCAAATAGATTCGGTCAAAATACACTCTTCAACTCCCAGACAATTATGTATGTACATATATTACACTTACTTAACACGCGTGTGTAGCATAGAGAGCTATTGGTAGCGCAATCCTTGGTCAGTATGTTCAACGGTTCGGTGGCGCAGCGCTCATCAGTCTTCGAATGGCATTGTACGCAGCCATCTGTGGAGCCATATATAATTAGTCAGTTAGTAAATGGCAGTTTTAGTGAAAAGAAAATATATTGAAATTAACAAGAAATTGAATATCGTTTTATATTTTCCGCGAAGTTTAAACCACTTTTTTTCAATTATGGCAACGCCCGCGACATTTTGTTTGCAAAAGCTAAACGAGGGCTTGCCGGAGTTTCAGAAATTATGAAATTCAAATTCAAATCTCAACTGTTAAGCTCCTGACCGTTACAATTCTTGGCGTTGCCGTATGTGCATCAATTATTTGTATATAGAGTAAATATTTATTATCTACAGTCAAATACAATCTGTTCTAATTAGCCGTAACAATTGACAATTATGACACAATTTATATATTGAATTTGCTGCTATCAGCAGCAAATATACAAATGTAAATGTAAGCATGCAATTGCTATTTATGTTTGTATGTGTGTGTGTGTGTGTCCCTTGGAAAGATAAGCGTTTGCTTTAATACCTAATTTTCTGCTTGTAGTAGCATGGCACGATCTAAATCTAAATCAAGCGTAGCTCAATCAATAAATTACGATAAGCCTGATATTATGTATTGAATCGTTTATACATTTTAACATATATATGTGAACTCATTTATTCAGATTTCATTGTTGTACATTTAAATACATCAATTCTTGAAAATCGCCCAGCACTAAATATCCCATAGGTGCAATGCCACCTTATGTACATAAAAATCTGTATTTTTTTGTAAAATGTATGCTAATGCCAAATTAATAAATCTTAATTACCGTATTTTAAAAGCAGTTGTGCAATTAAAATAACATTCTAGACCATATTTGTGTACCATTCAGCACAATCAAGTTAAAAATCATTTATGTACTATGCAAGTACATATGTACATTATCCACACAACATACATACATATAAGCACATACATATGTACATGCATACAAATCACATGATTCATCACATACGAAATAAATGTATTTATTCAATTTTTTTTTGGCGATTTATTACTCATGCAATTATCCAGGAAAAAATATGTGTCGCCAAAATTTTGATATAGCAAAGCAACTGAGCAAAATTTGTTTTGATATTTTTGTTCTTATCCATTCTCTTAATGGACAGATATTTCTTAAAGCTCGCAAAATCACTGCACGAATGTATATTCATATAGACAAAACGCGCATATAAGCAGCTTAACAGCTTAAAATATAGTAAAAAACAAAAATTGTTGTCCCGGGAAATGCACATTACACGTGCCCACACTTGACGCATGAAAGGGGAGATGGCCACATTACACTCACTAATGACTCATTATTGCAACAGGTGGCAAGATTAGATCGTGACAAAGCTTGCTGCCATTATCAAGTGCACATGTACAAACATCTGTTTGCATATGACTAAATGTGTCTGCTTTTGCCGAATCGAAATGTGTTTTGTAAAATCTGCAAAATTTTGCTGGTGTACTTGTATATATGCACATATATATAAATGTATATATGTATATGTATATGTTTGAAGATATCGTTGTACTTTAGGTAGAAAAATGTGTAATCCAAGTGTTTGCCGGCTGTTTTAAGTGTATAAATAGTATTTCACTCGCACATATGATACGCCCATACTTATCGTGTGATAAGCAAAAAGCTTATATACATAACAGATAAGATACCGTGTTAGATTAAAAAAAAAAACGGTCTAAAACACCCAATATTACATAAAGCACTTGCACTCATAAATTTTGTATACCATATATAGTATTATAATAGAAAAAATATATATGAAGGCATTACCACAACTAACGTAGACCAAAAAGCCAAGCGCAGCAATCACCAGCAAGAAGAACTTCATTATAGGTATTTAAAACTGTGACACAATTAATTTCCTATATATTGATATTAATGTAGCTCAAGTTGATATTCGCACCACACTTGAAACGCACCCACTGAACCTCAAAACAAGACTAAAAGCAGTTATAACGAGCGGGCACCTTCTTAGCGCGGTTTCACGGAGCGTTATCGCGATTGCCTTGTTGCTGTGTGACTTGGTTAAGTCGAAAGGGGAGCTTTTTCCGTTGGCATTATCGTATTTATGCGTATATACACTAAACAAGAGAGTTGCTTTATCTTTAAGCTTTGGCGATTTTGTTCAACCAAATCCTAATTATATGACATTCTAATATTCAGTATACGTTACAATTTTATAAGAACAGGTTTTTTTCGTAGCTACCCACACATTTGTATGGTCGAAAATAAACTTATTTGAAGCTTACTTAGTTTTGACACAATTTTGTGTTCGTTGCTAAATATAAATATTTAGGGTTTTAAATTTTTAACGGTTTTTGTATTATTAGAATTAATCCAATTATTATTTAATTTGTTATCAAGCTATCGATATATCGAGTAGAAATATCGCGAGCGTTGCCATATCATCTAAGAACCCTATTGAAACAGATGACACACGAAACGCAGATATATTGGAATACAAAACTTAATTTATCGCCCACTCTTCGCTGTGTTTAATGAGTTTAGCTGAGTTATCAGGTAATACTGCAAAACGCATCCCAAGCACGGCATGACACTAATTGTGTGCGTCTGCGATTATTGGCAACGCCGCCACTACTATAATCGGCAGCCCGTCGAGTCGGCGGCTGGCGACACCGGCAATAGCCGGAAAAAAGCTGTTCGCCGGCTGTCATTGGAGCTAGATGCCATCGCTGGCAACTACTGGCTGCGCGAGGTACTCCAGCAAAAGGTACTGTGTCATAGACTGGAGCGTGAGCATGATGTACAGCTGTTGTGGCTTTCATTGCATCCGCCCGAACACGACACCATCGACTATAAGTGGGCGGATATGGTGGCGCATACTATATGGGAACACATCGAAGTGGAACATTTAATGTCGTGGCTCTCAACGTTGGGTGGCGGCTTTTCGGCGCTGGGTGAACAATTTGAAAGATGCGTGAGTGTGGAGACCAGCACCAGTTACAGGGATTCTTAACAATCAATTAACAATTCGGCTTATTTCAGGCTCAGACAGCGGGCAAAATCTCGTTGCAGCAGCTTACGATTGGCCTGCGCCTAGGTGATCCTTTTTTGCAAGCTCGCTGCAAGCTATACTACAGCATATCGCTCATCCAGCGCGGTCAACTGCGCCAAGCCAAGCGAATGATACGTGCCCAGTATCGATTTGCGAAGCAGCATGAGGAGCACGATCACCGACTGGTCCGTATGTGCCTGGGCATTTGGTTGCGATTACGTTTCGAGTATCAGGAGCGCCGGGGACGTCGGTTAGCTGCGGATACCAATTCATAACTGTTAGCCTTAAAGTCTAGATATAAAACGATTTCGTGGTTTACTGCTAGTTTTTAAGATACAAAATATACAATTTATAAATTCTATGTTTGTATTCAATATATTTATTTATATATGTGTATATACACATGTATGTATATATATATATATGTATATTTATTTATTTATTTGTATATATGTACGTATAAAATGCGTTTTTAACATTTCAACTGCGCTTGGCCGGCACTAAAGCACGCAAAACTTCTCTTCGCCATTTCAAAACATTCCAATTTTTTACTTAAACTACTTTGCATGTAAAGGGTATATGTAGAATAGAATGCTACCAAAAGAATTGACGTCACATGTATGTGGTGTGTGTATGTGTGTGCATGTATATATATATATATATAATGTGTTCTAATGTGAGCCATTTAAATCAATATCAGCCGAGTCCAGCTAAAGTGCATGCACATATACATACATACATAAGAAAAAGTATATAGAAATCTGGCTAAGACTTTAAATTAAATTATCTCTGAAACTGAACATACAATTTTAAGTATTTGTGGATTATTGCTTGCAGTACTTTTAGTTATTGTTAATTTTGTTCTTGTAAAGCTTTCCCATTTGGCTGATCAAAACTTATTGCGCCAATGTGCCCATGGGATCCCAAGCGGGCAGCACAATGGGATCCATGTCAAATACGCGCATCACATCATCGGGCACATATTTCTTATCGACGACCACCTCAAAGCCAAACTCCCTGAACCAATCGGCGCACATGACCAGGTAGCCTTTCTCGCCGCGATCCTCGCCCCAGGAATTTTCCACGCGCAGCTTATTCGCCACACCATTTTTCTGCAAACCCAAAACAATAGATTTGGCATTATAATCACAGCGATAAGAAACTTTGTCCCACTTACATCTACTGAGACAGCTGTGAATACCATGGCGTGGGTCATGGCCGATTCGCCATAGATAAGACGATCCGCCTTGGAGAATGTTGTTTGTATGTCGATGTCGAAGACCAGCTTGAAATCGTGGCTGCACATCAATACGAAAGTGACAGCAATAGCAGCACCAGCGGCACAGGTAAGAAAGAGATGGATGTATTTAATAAGATAAAGAGGCATTAGCCATGCACGTAGATATATGTTACTTACACATCCACATCCTCAATGCCCTGCTTGGACGCGAAGCGCTTGCTAACCTCACAACCAAACCAGACGGCTTCGCCAGCTTTCAGCGATTTCGTGACCATCGCCAGCAACAGATCAACATTCTGATTGTTGTATAGGACGGGACGGCCGCCAACAACATTACCCAAACAGTCGACCGTATAGACTTGATCGTAGCTGCTAGTTGGACGCGGGTCAGTGACCAGGCACACCTTATCTTCAACATTAAAATGTGGTTTCACATAGCGCTCGTAGAACTCCAGCGAACTGATGGGCCCAATTGACTGATAGTTCTTTGATTTATCATAGTACTCCCAGGTGAAGGTCTCGGCGGGTATGCCCAAGCAAATGCCGACCACTTTGTAAATTTCGGACATTTGCTCTTGGATTTTGCAGGCGATCTCCTTATCACTGGGCTCCTTTTCTAGCAGTACACGCAAATGACGTGCATATTCGCGCAGCTGCAATTAAGATATGATATGAGCTAATCAAGGTGCTGGGATTAAGGATCATGGAGCTTACCTTGCTCTTCAGTATGGCATTCATTCGTATGCTGGACTCGCAGCTAAAGCTCTCCGGAAAACATTTCTTTGGCATCAGACCGTGTTTGGTTATCAGATTGACCAGCATATGCCACTGGCCGCCATCAGAGGTAGGATCGAGCAGCAGGAACGAAACAAGACGGCCATCAACCTTCTCGCCACGCTTCGCCGTCTTCACGATGTTGTTGAGAAAATAGTTGCAACGCTCGATTTTGTCCCAGTAGAAGAGGAACGCCTGCGAGAATTCAAACTCATCCAGATTGTAGTTCTTCATGAAGGGCAGGCGTATACAATTGAGTGCTGCAAATAGCCAGCAGCGGCCGGAGCTACGCTGGTTGGTCACCGGCTTGCCCTCCGTTTCCACCTTAAAGTTGAACACATGATTGGTCGTCTCGAGCGTCTTGCGCGACAGGCACACATCGAACGGATCCACCCTGGAGCAGACATTCTGAGCCAGCAGGTTCTTCGGTTCGCTGTAAAAATTCTCGCGCCACTTGTTCAACAGGTCCTGCGTGATGGCACTTTGACTGACGTCCTTCGCCCCCAAACTGCTGCCATCGGAGGTGTTGTTATTGCTGCCGTTGCCGCCACCTTGGGTGATACCGTCAGCTGCAAGTATATCGGGACTGGTAGTGCTATTGGTAAAACATGCAACAGTTCCTATATCTTGAGTTGCATTTGCCACCTGTGGGACCTTCATTGAGCGTGCAAGCCGATACACCACAAATTTGTTAAAAACTGATACAAAAACGTCTGTGACTTATTTAACAATTACTATAATGTAGTCAAATACATACGTTTGTACATATTTCTAGTTTGTATGGTTAAAACCACACTAGTTTCACAGCATGAAAAATTGTTAAAAGTCGTTAAGAAATAAAAAATGCTTAAATGCAAAAATGTTCCTCTAGCAATTATTGTTTCGATAACACATTAATATTCTCCCCCGGTGTATAGGTATTCCCGTAATTTTGTCGCTATTAATTGTTACGGTACGTTGACATAATAATCAAAAAATATCTTTTTTTTTTAAGCTCCGACTGATTTATGTATCAAGATATTTATTTTTTTAGTACAATTTTTAAGATGATTTACAAGCAGTTAAAATTTAAAGCAAAATGATCAGATGCGCCTAATTTTCTTGTCCTTTGTGGCCCCTCCTCACTTGACTGTTATCCGGCCCCATCGCATAGTTTGATTATTTTTGTGGTTATATTCTTCATCTTAAATAAGCTTGGGCATTCCATGCAGTCGTATTTAAAAATATTGTTTTATAATTCCTTTAAGAGAAAGTCCACGTTTATATTAGTATTTACTAAATTCAAAACCTAATTTACATAAATTTTCCTAAGCAATTTGATTTCATTATTTTGAAATTGTATACTTTTATCGAAAACAAAATATATATATATCACTGGAAAAATATCGTGATTTAACGATAATCGATTTATCGATATGTTATCAATATGCCGAATATTATGCACATCTCTTGATGACTTGACGATCATTCCAACACTTTTCCTTATGCAACGCATGAATATATACACGGTTATGCATACATACACACACGTATACATATTTATGTATATATATGTATATACATGAGGAAGATGATCGGCAACTGGGATGCGTTCTTTTGTGCGCTGTGGAAATGCGTCTGGTGGGCGTGGTCTCCTTGACAAAACAGTTGCGTGCTGCGCATAAGTTAAAATTGAATTACGCGCAGCCCCAGCAGCTGCAGCCCATTAACTGTGGCCCGTGTTTTTTCACTGTTTGCAAATGCATCTGTGTGGCTGCACTTCGAAGCAATGAGTGTACACTTTCAGCCGTAAAGAAAACGGCAAAAAAAACTGTCGCCCCCACTCAAGTTTATTGTACGAATTTCTAAGTACCGTTGCGGGTGTATGAACGCACATACATACATATGTGTCTGCGTCTGTGTGTAAGATCAAAAGCAACACTATATTTCATAATAAAAAGTACACTTGATAACACTGCAAGGCAAAGTAAACAATACATAAGCAAAGGCATCACGTCGCAGCTTCTGATAAGAATCATACACATCGGCAAGTGTGGCCCCATAAACACACACACGTGTACATATGGCTGTCTAGCCAATAATCGTAAAATAAAACTTTAACTCTAGAAATACTTGCAAAATTTGTTTTCATCTTGATTGAAAAGAGTTAAGCAACAGCGTAAGCCGCAGCTACGAATGAAGCGATGATGCAGAGTGCAATTAAACCAGTTTAACGGCACATAGACATACACAAGCACACACATAGAAACATACATACAGCTGTTGGGGAACTAGAGGCAGCCAAAGGAGGGCAAAATGCCGTTTTAAACTTTCGCGCAAGCCGGCTTGCCGCTGCTGGCATGAATCTAAACAAACCAATAACTGAAAGGGTTAAAAAAAAATAAAATAAATATGCAGCAATCAGCAGCAGCTTAAGCCAAAGCAAAAACTCGTTTGCCCAGCTTTTGTACGAGTGCCTCAAGTGGTGTACGTGTGTGGAAGAAGGCGAGGGGGCAAAGGCAAAGAGCAAACCAGCAAAAACAAACAAATTTGGGTGAAATTTTACTTTCGTTGTCGTTGCTGCCGTATTGGGGCGTCAGCAAGCTGCTTCTCGCTCGCTTCCGCACAAAGCGAAACGGGAACGGAATTGTTGAGCGATGCCGTTGCCTGCACAAGAACCAAAAGCAACTACAACGACAGCAACATTTTTGTGGGGCTGTCGCCTTTTCTTGGACTGCTGCTGCTGTAGGCAATTATTTTATAATTTTTGCATATTGTATTTTTTTTATAGCACACTCATTCACTTACACATTGTGGGAGTTGTTTTTTGTTTTTATAATTAGTTGGCGCTTGGATATGCTTGCAACCGTAATGCACTTCACAATTTTGATTTTATAATTTTATTTAATAATTTATTCCTTTTTTTTTTGTATTGTGTGCACTGCAAGCAACTATTGTATACTGTTAATTTCACTCTATTTAGTTGCTATTTTTATTTATTGATGAGAAAAATGAAAATGATAATGTTTGGCTTTGGCCCGAAACACGAAACAGAATCCAAGACAAATGCAAAAGTATCGTTGCCACGATAGCTGGACAAGGCTGCCAGATCGTAATTTCCAAATATATCGATATATCGATATGCAGCAATTAATTGGTATATTTGCAGCTTCCTGCTGCCTGTTGTTGCTTTGTCGCGCTGTTGTTGCTGCCTGCGCCGACAGAACTGCGAGCAGGTCGCGAATTTTGAAATCGCTCCGCTCACGCTGCTTGGAAAACTGGGGATAAAAAGGAGGAATACATAAACGTAGCATAGACATATATATACATATATGTATATTTCAAACGTTCATGCCAAGTAACGAATCTCGATCAAGTTCGTTTCTTTCTGAGGCAACCAAGATGAGCACCAGCGCCAACACCAACGACGACGCACCCGAGGACTCCTCATTGTTCAAGTTCTACATAGAAAATGGTTACGTGCTGCCGTTGGAGCTAAAGAATGACATTATCTACTGCCAGCGTGCAATGCGCGACTTTCTCAAAGTGCACGGGGTGAGTAACAGCAAAATCAACAACAAAATATACGTAAAACCAACCTGTGACCGTTGGCTAACTTCAACTTCTGTTCCACGATATCTCCATGGGCATTGCAGCTGGTATCCGATGTGTTCAAGGAACAGGCCGATGCGGTAAGTCCACATTTATTTGTTGCCCACACAACTGTCCTGCATTACGCACATAATTATTAATTACATATATGTATATGTATGTTTTCTTTGTTTGGAGTAACATAATGTGCCCAACAAAACAGCAGAGGTGTGTGACGGCAGGGTTGCCAACTCCCAGCTAGTCCACAGTCCGCACCACACCCCTCGCTCGTGCTAGCCCCCATAGCCCAAATACTAGTGCGGCCAGCGCTGCTTTATTAATTCATTTACAATTTTAGTGCTCAGTTTTACACTCGCTTAGAGATGAGCGTATACTCTAATGCGTATACTCTAAATTTAATAACACCTAAAAAGATTTACACTTGAGCACAAGACTTTTAAAGATGAATTAAAATCAAAACAAAGCAAAATATTGTCATTGGAAATTATGATATACATATTTAGGTTAACATACATATGTATGTATGTATGCATGTATGTATGTAGGAATGTACACATACATACATATGTATATACATGAGAGGTTGGCTTTTACATGTACCCTGTAGCCATTCAAATATATTGAAAGAAACCATTTTTTAAAGTTATATCCTTGATTTCTTGTATGAACATATGTACATACATAATTGCCATATTCTTGCCGATCGCACAATAAACACAAAAGTTTTCCAACAAAAATTTGTGCACAAAGCGAATCCGGAAGAAGAAGAAGCGTAGCCGCTGCTTTAAGTGCGCAACTAACGGCAAGTGTGCGTGTGTGTGTGTGTGTTTTGAGTATGCGTGTAAAATAAAGTAAGAATTGTGTATACCTATGAATGTGCTAAGGTTGTCTACAGGGTATCTGCTGGTAGGGACTCTTGCTATGTTTATACATACATATGTAAGTGTTTTATATTTTTATAAAAATTTTAAGTACATACATACGCAAACTCCTTTACTTAATTTCAAATGTTTTCATATGCATTTTGCGTAACATGAATTATTTCTCAATTAATTTGTTGGTCGTGAAACAAAAATTTGCGAGGCACGTACGAGTTAAAAAAAATAAAGACACGACAGAATTACTCATTGTTTTTGTTGTTTTATGGCACTTAGTCATGTGCCACGATTACATTGCATATTGCTAAAAATCTTTATAAAAACATATCATTTAACACCTACAGGATCCGGTGCAGATGCAGCGCATCCTTGATGAACTGGAGGCGGAGGTATATGAGATAAATGCTGAGCAGCAGTTTTTAATGTTGCGCCTAGACCATCAACTGGATACATTCTACAAGAATCTGGAGGAGAACAATATACGGACTGTACCTGAGATGGCCAACGAGTACATTTCCAGCCTCATAGTGCCTTTGATTGGCGATGCCAACTATAAAATCTATCCACAATCGGTGCTCAGCCGCGACAGCGAGGAGATGCTCATACGTAAGCATTTTCTTATCTCACAGGACGAGGATGGTGGCGTTGAGCCGCTCAAGCTTAGCGAATTGGACGACAATGTGCCGCTAATGCTCGTCAATGCACTTAGTGCATCTGCAACTGCTACTGCATCTGCCACTGTCAGCGTCAAGCCGCCGCCCAGCGACGAGGCCGCCAGCGAACCGAAGCTGCTTGACGAAAAGATTGAATATGGAGGTGGTTTAGCAAAGCTGTCACCCTCGCCATCGCCATCGCTGATGCAGACCCAGCTGCAGACTGAGGAGGCTCTATCGCCGACGTCCAAAAAGGAACAGCTGCACTCACTGCTAATACCGCGAGGTTCGCAGCCACCCGAGCAGCAAGACGAAAAGTTAAACCAGCTGTCGCCAACGCCGCCGCCGCCGCCGCCACCACCCCCGCCGCTAGTAGCCTCCAAACAGCGTGCGCCGCGTGCGGATGCCAAGCAGGCGGTAAAACGCATTTTGACATCGCCACCGCCGCTGGCGCCCATTACAAAGACACCGCTGGCGACAGATTTTGAGGAAGTCGCTCAGAGCCGAATGAATCTGCGCCAGGCACTGCGTCGCGCGCGCAAGACCAAACAGCAACCCCGTCAATTCGATGAGGAGGATGTCTTAGAGCTGCCCGTCGAGAAGGTGGCGGAGAGTCCGCCACAGCCAAGCACTGCGCCCACTAAAAGCAAACCAGTCAAAGCGATGGAAGCAACTGCAACAGCGCCAACAACAACAGCAGCAGTAGCATCTACCAGTGTTGCAGCACCGGCAGCCAAGAAGTCAGCGCCGCAGGCGTCTAGCAAACAGTACAAGACACGCAATGCGCATGGTGCTGGACGCAAGCCAGCGACACCGCCGCTAGCGCAAGCGGCTCCGCAGCCGGTGGCAGCAGCAGGTGCATCATCTGGTTCATCCGGTTCCTCAGACGATTCGCATCAGGAGCTGGAACTGGAACAGCAGCGCCTGTGCGCCTCGGCGGCACAGTGGCGTGATGAGCCGCGCGAGACGCGTGTCCTGCCCGCCGAATATGGACGCGAGCATTTTCTGGGCCTGTTTGGTCTCTACACGCATGACATGGTCAAGAAGCTGTGCCAGCGCCACTCTAAGCGCAAGCGTCGCACCGTCCAGAATGCCAGCGGCGTTGATTTTCATTATGGCCAGCAGTTGACCGCCATCGATGCGGTGCGTCAAAAGAAGCTCAAGGATAAGCCGGAGTTTCTATTGTCGCCCAAGGACAAGCGGCTGCAGGCTAAAAAGGCGCACAAGGCGAATGCCGCTGCTGTTGCCGTTGTATCCAATCGCAAGAGCAAAAGTAAAACGCCGGAAAAGTTGGAGGATGCGTTGGCCAACGGTCACTCAGATGTCGGCAAACATAAGTGCAAGGAGTGCAAAAAGCGTGCGGGTAAGTTATCATCTCCAAAACAAGAGATCAAGTCTCTCGATCCAGCTTCACCCTATATACAATGCACATGCATTAAGTACAGTAAAAACTTGCTTTAATGGACATAGTTCCAAGTCCAATTTGGTTTCCTTCCAAGCAGCTGTTTGTCTGCTTCAGGAATAGTTTTTTTTTTTTCAAATGCATTATGAGCATTTTACAATAGTTGCGTTAAGATATACCCTGTATATACTAGATAGTATTTCCCGACCTCGCCCTGCACCTTTGGGCCATCGATTTATCACCCATTTCCCGCACCCTTCATCATATAAGATAACTACTGTGTCTGTACCTAAGTGTCTCTAAAACATCGATGTATTTATCTATTTACATTTTATATATGGGCGCAGGCGTTCACTATGAAGTAAACCAAAGAATTGTTAATTCCACCCAAAAGTGTTTAAAATAGGTGAGAAATATTTGATTGGACATTTACTACTTTTCGTTTTTGGGAAATTTATTTATATGTGTCCTATCCTCTAAATTGATTCACATAAAATTAAGTGAGAATTGTTTCACTGCCATTGGTGGAAATGGATTGAAAATTAAAAGTTAAAAAGTTTTTTTAAGCTGATATAGTAAACATGTATTAAGCCCGTCTTTACTTTTTTCTACAGACAATTTCCTGACCTGCCAGAGCTGTCATGGGCACTATCATCTGGATTGTCACGAGGAAGCCAAAGGAAAGACACAGTCAGCGTTGACGTCGGCGTCGCACGCGCAGTTGAGCAGCCGTTGTCCACCGTGCTTAAGGGATTGGATGCTGTCGACCGGCCGGACTAAGGGTGGCTCGTCCTAGTACTAAGATTTGTTTAATATTCAAAGTGGCAAGAGTTGTTTTTCGCTCCAGTGTGGACGCTCTGGCCTTATGTTGTACAGTGTATCCTGATCGTTCTATCCTACATTTGTTTGTACATACTTTTTTCTTTTATTTTGTTTTTTTTTTCAGCCACATTTATTAAGCTCTTAATTAATTTTTTTTGTGTCCAAAATTTAAAATTCACATTTGCACTTAATTATTTAATATACATATATTGATTTTGAAAGAATTCAGTAACTGCATGTACAAACATTTGTTGTTATATACACACATATGTATATTGTTCCAAAAAATGAAAGTGAAAATAGGATTTATGTACATACACATACAAACATACTATGTTGTCTTAATATTTAATAAACAAAAAACAAAAATAAAATTACAATTTTAAGAGCCTGGTTTTGCAATTCTCGCACGCAAAGAAAAAAACGAAATCAAAATTGTTCTAATTGTAAAATGTGTATAAAATTCAGATTCCCCCAGATCGCTCAGGAGCGATGTCCCAATATAATGCTCGACTAGAAGATGCCCTGCAGCCATTCCAACACACACACACACACACAGCACGCCTCTTCTTTTATCACCGAACTATGGAAAATGCATTCGTTATTAACTTTTATGATTATGTTTCGATATTTGTGGCCTTTAGAGGACATAAATATGGAACTCAGATGTGTCTATATACCAAAGCCCAAATCTCTAGCTTTTGTTTAAAATAACCTAAACCTAGTTTAGCTTATCAAGAATATATATGTGTTCTTTATATAGACGCCTTATTTGGCCTGTTACATAATCTTGCACCAAACCGTTACACCCTTATTTAACCCATTTTTAAAGGTTACAGGGTATTAGAAATTGGCCAAGTATCGATACCAGTTAAAAGGAACAGCAGATGGGAACAAGATAAGCAAGCATCGAGCAATAATGGCGATCCTGAAAACTTTTCCCGCTGCCAAAGTATGCTAAAGTATTTAATTTATGTTAATTAGCAAGCAGTAAAATTCTGCAATAACTGACATTTGCTCGATAGAAACACATACACATTTATGCATATTCAGTTGGGGGCTGTTAAAACTATTGACAAGGAAATGAGTAGGCTATTTAATTAAACAGAATTTGTGTATATTTTCGCTTTTAATCGAAATCGCGCAATGGGCTTAACAATTTTAAGCCCTGGGCAGCCGCCAGATTTTGCAGCAGTGGAATCAATAACGAAAAATGAAAGTGAATGTGGCCAGCCCTGGTAACGCAAGAGCACCATTTGATAGGTGGCAACCTGGCAATAAACCGCTAAATTTTCAATGGTCCGTTGAGTTAACGATCAATTGTGAAATAAATTTCTGGCGCTAAGATATTCCATTAAATGCTCGAGTTCGTGAATAGTGACAGAGTGTACGGCGGATTTTGTTCGCCCAACCATTTTTAAGTCGAAGCAGCCCTTTTCATTGCCAAAGGAACTACCTCAGTCGTGTGTAGTTCAACATGAGTCTGAATGAAAACCTAACAATGGAGGAGGAGCTAGAATTTCATGAACAAACGGAGCACAACTTTGAATATACGAAAGAGATTTCGCACGTCCTGCCGCCGCCATTTGCCAAGGAGCTGTTCATGGCCAATCTGGGCATGAGCAAAGTATCGAACGCATCGGAGTCGCAGAGCAGCAGCAGCATCCGGACGCACAGCTCGCGACAAACCCGACAGACGCTGCGCGAGGAACGCTGTAATCCCTATGGCATGCTGCAAAGTGTAAGTAAATTAATTAGCCTGGCCTACATTCCAAAACAGGTAGCTTGTTTCTGCAGCGTTTAGTACAAGTCCAAGATAAAATCTCGAGCGCGCTGGACAGGGAGCGAGTGTTAATGCAGCAGCCGCGCGAAGAGCCGCTGCACAAGATGATACTCTGGCTAATGGATCTGCCGCAACGGTGTGAGCTCTCCAGACTTTCCTTCTCGGCCCTGAGATGCAACGAGTGCTACTTGTGCGAGGGCGTCGAATATCCTTGTGTGCGTTGCCGGCAACAGTTCCATCAGGAGTGCCATGCTGACCAGGGCCGCCGGCAGCCGCATCGCCTGTGCCCGTCGTGCACACGCCAGAATACAAGAAATCCAAACGATTATTTTATATAGCCCACGATTTACGGGTTGAATTCGTATCGGAACGGTTGATCAATTTAATTGCCATGTTCGTTAAAACAATGCTAAACATAAAAATTACATATACATTCTATTCAGAATTGTGTATGCCAATATGGCCAAAGACAGCATCGGAAGCGGCTGCCGCCAACGGCCGCTGCTGCCATTGCACAGATCACCCTGGCAGAAGCACATAAAGACTTTCTTATAATTGTAGATCGTGTCCGCGCACCGATCCATATTGTCGTCGGGTCCGCGCTGCACGCACATGCGCTGTGTGGCCAGATCGTAGTCTGTATATGAAATTCAAAGAAAAATATTAAAATAATTTTTATAGGGTATGTAGGGGTCGTGCCAACCATCGAGCGCATAGGTACCACCGCCCTCGATCACTTTGCCACACCAGCCGCTGGCACATGGTATGGCGGATAGGCCTGGCTCCCTGTCCACGTCGGTAGCGTTAAAGCTGAATGGATCCTTACAGCTGCCCAGCTCTCCACGGGAGCGGCATTGATAGCAGCGCCGAAGTAGAGCTACGAGCAATGAAGAGAAATTTTAGTTGTCATTTTCCTTTTTGTGCATTACGCACCAGCACACACACATGCGCAGTTGCAGTTACAGTTACGTTACGTGTATATGTATATATGCAAGTGCGTGCGTATGTTGAACAAAAGACTTTAATAAGCAGCAAACTTGCGCAGAGCTAACGTACCATTTATCTGAGGCGCATTGTTGGCTATTATAACGAATATCACAGTGAGAATGAACACAGAGGCTTGCATTTTGATAGATTTTAAACTAATTGAGTATTCAGATCGTATAGATCTAAAGTGCTTAGTGTAGTGAGAGCTTAAATTGCTTTTGTTGTGTATTTGTTGTTGTAACGGAGACTAAGGGTTGCCACCTAACATATTAAAATAAAAATAACATGCAACAGTGCGTTTAGCGTTGCCAGACTTCTTGCATGCGTTTCGTTTGGCAGCACTAGCATCAATTTTCCTATTGTGGCGCTGTGTGTACACACTGTGTCTAGTTTCGTTGTATTATTTCAGCGAAAAATTCATCATCTCAATATCGGGCGTATATTTTTTGTTGTTATTTTGTATTCAATAATAACTCAAAACAAAGTAACGAACGTCAGATGCAGTAATTCATACGCTAATAATCAAATTTAGTGCCACGGATCACAATTGCTAGCGGAGTGCTCAAATCTAAATCGAGTAAAAGCTGCAGTACGTAGAAAAAAAGAGCAAAAAAACAACAAAGCAAACGCAAAGAAATTTTGCAAATTGTTCATAGAGAGACAGACGGTCACCCAGCCAGACGGCAGCGGTAGCAATAGCATCAGCAGCAACAGCAGCAGCTGGGCTGCGTAACAAACGCGTACATACAGCACGTTGTAATTATAAAATATTTAAATATACATAATCTGCGCGTTTGTCATTCCGTCAAATCGCGACGTCGGCGTCGCTGTCGCAGCTGCTGCTCTGCTGCAACGTAACCATAAACGCAAACATAACGGAGTAGCGGAAGCGTCGCTGCTGGCGTAGGCGTTCCTAAAACAGACACCTTGCAACTGCAGCCGCTGCCACTGCTGCTGCCCGCTGTCTACCAAGTTCAATGCAACTCAGTTGCTGTTTTTGTTTTTGTTATTGTTGTGTGTGTGCGTGTGCAATTGTTTGTGTTGCTCTAACGTTTTCCCGTGCATCCCGCAGCAGCTCTGCCCACTGACCCAAGGAACAGGCAAACAACAGAGAGGTGAAGAGGTCGCCTGGAGCAGTTATTAACCAACACTGCAATGGCACTGGACAGCGTCACGCAAACGATGACGGGCAGCAATGCGCTGACATCATCCTTTACGACGAAAAAGAAGGATGCCGCCGCAGCCGACAAGGAGAATCTCTGGTGAGTTGAGCTTCAGCCTAGGCAGAACAACTGTGCATGTGTGTGTGTTCTGTGCGTGTGTGTGCATTCAGCGTTTTATCATATGACGCGCCTATTTTTTTTTTCTTTTCTTGCCTTTAGGCAAAACAGCTGCTTTTGGCCAACTACTTTTTGACTTTCTTTAGCTGACGTTTGCAATAATTTTCGGTTACCGCTATCTCACTTTTACTCTGCATGTGTATGTGTGTGTGTGCCGGCTGCAACGGCTGCTTACACCACACCCACAACGTTTGGCAACGTTGGGGCAAAAAAGCAGCTGATTTGATGCCGATTTTAAATTTAGTGCATGTTGTCATTTTGTTCAACATTCGCCTAACCTCAAACCACGTTTGGCTCACACACACACCTGTACGCACATGCGCATATTTTATATATATTTGAATTTTGGCAATTTTCTCTTGTGCCAATTTAATGGATTTGTGGCATAAACACAGACTAAATGCTAAAACAACAATTCTAATATACAGTGTGAAATAGTGCGAGCGAAAGAGAGAAAGACAGAAAGAGCGTAGTCTTGCGAATGATTCATGAAGCAGCAAAATCGAGGGCAGCGTCGCCGGCTGCGCAGTCGACAGCGCGCACCTTTTGCTTTATCAATTTTTGTTATGTCTAATAGGCAACACACACACACGCACGGGCAGATATGTATGGGTACACATGTGTACACACTTGCAAAGCCGTAAGCTGAGCTATCGATAGTTCGGCTTCATTTGGACTGTTGACAATCCAATTGGAATTTGCATTGTCCAATGAACGAAGAGTTGCTTTAAGTCGAGCTTGTGCGTGTGTGAGTGTTGGCGATGTTGTCATCGCTTAAATATGTACATGTCTACGTTTCTAGTTGACCGTCAGGGGGCGCGCATGTGCAGAACGTCTTAACGACGCAGATCGATTTCGAATGCTATAGAAAACATGTGTAAAAATCTATTTAGATTAACAGGAAATGACCAAAACATATTAACCGTAAATACTTATCGAAATTTTCTAGAAGTGCACTGGCTCAATTTACAGATAAAAGGCTTTTTAGCTCTTGTTAGAGTTATCGAAAACTGTATTATGTTTCTCAATTGTATTTGATATGGAAATATTTCCTAGCATTGGGCTGGCTTAATTTATTGAAACTTGATAAACGACATGAAATTCGTTAGTTTACATATAACGCTCGTATTACGACCTTGATCTACAATTGCAAATATTTTAGCGATGTTTTAGAACGACATGTTTGGCTTAGGTATCAATAATCGATGTTTCAAAATCCATTAAAAATTCGTATAAACGGGCTTGTTCTCAAATTGGAAATTCCAATTCAAATATCGACTAGGATCGATAACCGTATGTTTTTTGATACGCTAGGTTTCGATTTACTTTTCGTTGCATCGACTTGCTGGCAATTCAAAATCGATTATTATCGATAATTGTATATATTTGTATATTCTTTTCGCATTAAAGAATGTTTTACAATTTTTCGATAAACACATCTTCATTATCGTTCCCGTCGTCGTTATCGATGTGCGTCGCCTGTCGCTGTTGCTGCTTATCGAAGTTGTTTTGTATTCGCTCCAACAAATCGGTAGCCACCAGCGCAAAGTCCTCCCACAATGCGTCCGGTGCCGCATCCGGTTCCAATTGCAAATCGAGCTCCGGCTCTCTATCTTTGCCTGGTTCGACCTCATCCTCGTTGGCCTCGTCGCCGACAATCGGTCGCTCCTCGTCCAAGTAATCAGCCAGCAGATCGCTGACCTCATCGAGTATGCTGCCACTTTTGCACAGGGCCGATGCGCATTGGGCATCGATCAGAAGATTCCACATCGCCTGGCACACAATGTTGGCCAAAAACCAATCCTCCTGCTCCAGTGCGCCGCGCAGTAGCAGCGCCAGCAGCTCAGCGCCGCGCAGCTGCAAAAACGGTGCCCGCTGCTCGCCATCTCCCAGCAGATTGACCAGCACTCCGATGGCACAGGTGCGCAGCTCATAATCCTGACCATTCGCCTGCCGCGTCAGCTGTTGCACCATCAAAGGCAACCCGCCAGCGGTGCAGAAACAGCGACGCGCCAGCTCGTTGCGCGTCAAATTGCCCAGCACGCGGGCCAGCTCCACCTTGGTGGACACATACTGACCCTGACACCGCTTCAAGGTGCCTGCCAGGGCCGTCGACAGCTCGGCAATCAGACTCTGCAGCGAACCGGGCGACGGTGTCGTGGTTGTTGTCGTTTCTGTTGTTGTTGGTGTTTCCATTTGGTTGTCCTGGTAGAAGCATAAATTGTGCAGTGCACCGAGCGTTGCATGCAGCAGCTCCAGCAGCTCAGCCTGCGGTTGTGCGGATTCACTTGTTGATGATCTATCCAGCGCCACAGTTGCATTCTGCAGCAGGCGAAACAGCACAGCGCCCAGACCATGCACATTGCCCAGCCCAGCGCCGACATCCGCATTGACGCTCATATTGGCAACGACACGGATCAGCTTGATTTGGGCATCCAGCAGCGCCTCGCTGCCCAGCGGTCGTTCGCTTAGCTGCTGCAGCACATTCAGCAGATACTCCATGGCCACATCGTTTTGATAGTACTGAAAGGGAAACACAGATTAAATATACATGAAAATTGCACATAGAAAACTGAGAGGGAATATAAAAAAAACAATATGAAACCCAATAGGAAAATTCTCATAAACATGACTCCAATCGGAATAATGAAACGAAACTCAATTGAAAATAATTAAAAGTAAACAATTAATAAAAAAATTAAATTAATTAAAATAATATACTCTAATAAATAACAAATATAATAAATAAAATAATAATTAAAATAAAAAGATAATTTATAAAAAAATAATCCTAATAAATGATTAACTTAAGCGGAATATTTAAAAGTTTATCATCATGAACTATAAATGCTCATAAATAAAAATTTTGAGATTTTGACTGAAATTTTTCTTTAAAAATGCTTAAAATCATGTGAAACGAATATTAAATTAATAATAATAAAAAACATAATTAAAGAGAGAAATAAAAACGAAAAAAAATCATAAATTAAATGATAATATAGTTTTAAATAACAATGAAAAATTAGAGACCTTAAATACGATTGTATTAATAATTATAAATAATATAAAAATAATTATGATTACATTAAATATTATAAAATAAATTATATGATAAATCATAAATGACAAATATTAAAAATTTAAAAAAATAGCTTCGTGCCTAACACTTATTTTAATAATAATAATAACAATTAAAACTTAATTAACAACAATGAAAAATATTATAATACTACAATGTGCACCCACCTGAACGCGCGCGGATTCGTGCTTGGCCAAGATATTGCCCAGCATATAGCCCAGCCGGCTGAGCACGGCCAAGAGCCGTTCACTGCACTGGCCGCCCTTCGAGTAGGGTCCGAGCAGCAGACCAATGCGGGCCGCATAGTTATGCAGCGTCTCACAGCATTCCAGATCTTCCGACAGCACGCTGAACCAGAAGAGTGAAAGTATTTGATTAAAGTGGCACGAAATGACAACGACTTGTAGCTCACCTCAGTGTGCGCACCACATTGGCCTGCACCTCCAGTTCGCCCATGGAGACCTCGGCGGCGCGTATCAGATGCGGACACGCCAGCTGCAATTGCAGTTGCAGTCGCTGCTGCTGCTGGGCCACATCCGCTAGAGCGCGCAGCGCTGCCGACAGCTGGTAGAGGGTGTGCAGCGGCGGGCCGCTGAGGCGTCGCGTGGCGCCCGCCTCGTTCAACATCTGTAAATGGAGTATCATCAGCTCCACAGCGCCGTGACGTGCCAGGCGTGACACCAGTGTCTGTTGGCCATTTAGCTTGCGTGAATCTTGCAGGGCCGTTGTTCTCGTTGCTGTTGTTGTTAGGACTGTGGCTGCTGCAATTGTTGGAGGCGGCAGCTCCTCGAATCCGGCGGCCCAGTTGCGATTGAGCGCATCGTCGCGCTC